ACGATGATACGGCAACGAATCGCAATTTTAAATATTAATAAAGAAGAAGTTAAATAACTTGATTTAAATGTGATAATGAATTTTTATATAGATAAAATAAAATAAGAAGAAACACATTTTACCTTAAAAAAATATTAACATTTATTATATTTATATTATCATTCAAAAAATTAAAAAATTTTAAATATTATTTAATCATTTATATTATTATAAAAAAAAACTTTAAGGATAAGAATATAATTTTCATGCAAAATTAAAATTACAAGCTTTATTTTCTATTTTTTTACAATTAAAATTTGATTAGGTTTCTTTTGCAAGTTTTAAACCTATATTTTTAAAAATATTCATGCCCTCGTAAACATTTTTATAAGTCGGTGCCTTTGATAGCGTATTGGCTGGGCTAAAATACTGACATATATATATATGGTACCAAATGTTGCCTCATGGGGCCAATATGTGTAAAGCTGCCGTCAAGCCAATAATTATTTTAACCATACCAATCAGAATCTGGGGCCATAATATTTAATATTTATAAAATATTTTGTTTTATAATTTTTTAAAAAATAAATAAAAATTTTGGTTTCTCCAAATTTATATATTATTTATATTTAAGGTTTATTTATGAATAATAAATTTGAATTTTTGATAGAATTTCAATGAGAGAAATTCTCATCAAGTCTTCCCAAATAATTTCATCAAACTCATCCGATGTTAATGATAGTTATAAAATGTTGATTTGTAAACCTTTCTGCAAAACTTGATATTTTAAAATCACCAATTTTAAAAATCCACGGATATAATTCGAATAAAATTCTGTTTAATAGTAAAATTTGTAATAATAAGACACAAGTTGCCAATTAAGAATCTTAAGAATTTTAACTTTATTAATCTAATATACAAGTACTGCAATTACAAAATTAAAAACTTTAATTTAATCTTATTTAATACAAACGTAAGTTAATTATTTTTTGAATAATACAATCGCGCTATATATATTAGTTTTATTTACATATTGAAAAGAAAACAGGACATTTTCTTCTTTTTCAATTAACCTTGCCAAAATAAAATTTGCATATAAAACTTTTTTGTCGATGATAATCACGACAATATTCATAGTCGATGTTTTATTTTCCGTATGTTAGACTATATATACAAAATATTATCTAAATTAGTTTTGTAGACTGAAGAAAACATTTATATCTGAAACATAAAATTGAATTTCACGCTATTATAAATAAAAATAATATGAAAGGAATAATTTAGATATTCTTCTAAACATTCCTCATAATATACAATAATTCTATACTTTACAAATTTATTTTACATGAATATGTCATCGGGTATCACAAATTTGATCAAATTTTTATTAATAAATAAGGCTATTTTTGTATGTTTCAAATGAAGGAAAGTTTATAGGATATCGAAAAAGATTTCCTCTTCAACTATTTTACAGATTATTAGCGTAGATAAGCTTTTTGTTTATAAATATTTTAACAAGGGCTAAATTATTTCAAAAATTTTTAATATTTATGCTGTTTATAATTATCAAATTTGCATAACAGTTCTAATTCTGAATTTATTTTGATACAAAATATATGTTGCTATATACCTATGGCCCAAAAATGATTTTCAAACATTCGTAAAATAAACAGCTCAACGGATTTAAATAAATCAGAGTTGTTAGCGCTCCTAGGAGCTAGCTCCCGCTCCCGCTACTACTTTTTTAAAAGGAGCTAGCTCCCGCTCCAAATAATGGAGTGTCACTCAATAACCTCTCCTTTGATTTTCATTTTTTTTAGAAGGTGCACGAAACAAAATCATATTTTTTTATCAAAATGTTTTATTATATTAATTAAATGATTATTTGTAATCTTTTATTAGCCTTTAAAAGTAATAATTTTTCTAAATTAGAATCTAACAAACATCCACGCCTCCCCCCTGAGACCTGTTTTGCGAACTAGAGGGAAGCGGGGTATTGTAGTTTATAAAGATATTTTTTAATTCAGGTATAAAAAAGGAGGTTGAACAAGTAATGAGAAAATTAAAATAAATATTAAAATATATTAAAAAAGTATCATATCTAACAACCCAAGTTCAACTATAATGAATTGCCCAAAAATAATTATTTTTAAAAAAATTATTCCAAAATAAAAAAAATATAGTTATCATTTCGTAAAGAGAGATTTTTTACTTTTAGATGCTTTTTTAGATTCGAGCTGCTCACTTTTGAAAATGAAATACTTTTACTTAAGCACAAAAGGCATTTTGCCCTTAAATTTGTTTGATCATTTGGATCAACATCTTTTAGAAGTTTAAAATATTTTTGTAAGATAGAAATGGAAATTTGATTTTTTCTTCTGTGATCGCTAAATCTATAATATCAAAAACTTACAAGATTTTCCACAAAATTTTCAATATAAAAATGAAAAACTTGATGTTTAATATTTAAAAGATTAGAAAAAGAACCAAATAAAACTCGGCTCAACATTTAATAATGGATAAATTTCAGAGTTGTTAATAGCTACTTTTAAAAGTAGCGCGCTACCGCTATCGCTATTTGTCAAAAAAATAAGCGGGCTACCGCTATCGCTATTTGCCAAAAAAAGTAGCCAGCTATTAGCTACTATTTTTTAAAAGCAGCTTTAGCTACTTTTTAAGTTACCTTTTATAAAAAAAATTTAGAAACAAATTTGTTTTATTTTTTGCTTATAATGTTATTGTATAGTAAATATATAAAAATCAACATTTATAAATATTAAAATATAGTTAGTTTTGATTATAAAAAAATTTATGTAATAAAAATAAATATTAATGGCAATTTGTTGCATTTTATGTTTTTACCTTGTGTTATGTGTCCAACTATCTGCCGTGGTACATAGATATGATATCCCTGATAACTCTACTATTAGAGCATTTCATCACTTAAAAGTTATCTGCTATTTTATTCATTAACGTCTGGCGACATAAAATTGTCGCACCAGGGGAATCATCATGGTAAATAAGGATTAACTACCAAGGACATTGGCTGAACTGTATCAATTATAAAATCAACAATAACTTTATCAGCCAATTTCTGAGAAATATTGGCATTTGTATTATTAATTAATTTAAAATTGAATTAGTGTAGAGTCGCCTATACCAAAATTATTTAGATGTTTCTCCATTTCCTTAAAACTATTGGCATGAACATTCTTATAAAATAACTACTATTAGAATGTAAAAATGACAATTTACCTTTAGGTTTTTCTTGAGGTTATAACTAGATTGATTTGAGGAAATATTTTTTTTACATTTTAAACAAATAAATTTGAAGCCAGTTTTGGTTTTTCTATTTATTATTAAAAAAATTTCGAATCTAGGGAATGGGAAATTTGTATTATAGCTATTAAGAATATTTTATTCGCTGGTATCTTCCATTTCATTAATATCATTGTCTAAATCACTTTCAACGATTTGGATATCCATAGGCGATGACATTTTAAATTATTAACACGTGATTTAGGTTTATAATACAAATGAAAATATAAATTACAAATTGAGAATATATTTCAATTTCAAAATTAAAAAATAAATCAAAAATCTTAATTAATTATGATATTATTTAAATTTTCATGTTTATACTTACCTTCATTATATTTTTTAAAAGTAGCGCTACTTTCAAAAAAAGTAGCGTGCTAAAAAATAAAATAATTGCAAAAAAAGTAGCCGTTATTAGCTATAGCTACCAAAAAAGATAGCGCGCTACTACAAGTAGCTCGTTACTTTAACAACTCTGATAAATTTAAATAAAATAAAATAAAATTTTATTTTTATCGAATTTTAATTAACAAATATTATTAATATTAAAAATTAATTTAATTTATACTATAAATTTAAAGGAGCGATGGAGCGGCGCTCCTCCACTCTAGCCCTAAAAGGAGCTAGCTCCCCGCTCCTCATTTTTAAAAAGCAGGGGCGCTCCAGGTGTTTTTGAAAAAATTAAAGGCGCTCCTGTAGCTCCGCTCAACAACTCTGAAAAAAATTAATATATATTATGAAGATTTATGTACGTGTCATTTTATTCCATTCAGTTCAGTAAATATTTACCTTTTAAATGTTAGAAATACACTTATATATAATTTCTTAATTTTTTTTATCAAAATCAATGTTGGATAGGATCTCAGTTTTCTTATATTCAGACTAAAGTCCTTTTTTGTTGTTTGACAACTGGTCTGAAAAGTCATATATCGCGAATTATTTGTTGCAATACTCTAAAAAAAAGGTTTTTAATTCATCTCTTTTTTAATTTTTTCCATATATGATAGTCTAACAAATATAAATGTAGAGAGATTTGAAAGCTATTTTCAAATTTTTGACGAATAACAGATCATATAAAAAAAATTGCTCAAATAAATAAGTTCTCTACGAAACATATGTTAATAATAATTTTAATCTAATTCGTTGAACCATTTATTTTTAAAAGGTGATATTAAACGCCGTAAGACTTTAAGATGGGTGAGTCTATACATAATTTAATATTATATTTAACTTTCTGTTGATATAATTTTATTTTAACTTAGTATAAACATTATCTGCCTGTTAAAACTTTTTTATTAATTTTATTAATTATGAAAAATATTTTTGTTATATGAACTAAATATCCTGGCTGTGTTGATTGTACAGTCTGAGATCTTCTTAGGTTTGACCCAAGGGTATTACCATAATCATACTAAAGGGGTGGAGGAGAAATATTTTTTGGGAATTTCTTCCATTTACAATTTCGTGGTTTAAGTAGAACCTAATTATTTTAACACAAGCCTTGATTAAATATTTTATTAATTTATAAGCCTGTGCCCATTCAGAACTTTAACAAGATAAAAAAAAAATTATTGCGCAATGATATATATAAATTGCATTAATTTCTGAGAGGAGTTGAGATAGAGGATATCTAAAAAAACTTGCATTCTAATTGCCTGATCTGACACTACAAAATAATAAATCGGACTATTTAACATTAGTATGTCTAAAGGGTCACTCAATCTATTCTTGAATTTTTAATACATTTTCGCAATCTGAATATGATGATTGGTCCATCATATGGTTGATATTCAATACAATTATGAAATCCCGAGTTCAAGGAGGCTGGAACAAAAAACCACAACAACCTATTATTAGAAATAATGTTTCCTCTAATACAATTGTTTATAAACCACCAGATCAAGTTAAAAATATGAATATTCATATTTAATAGATTAATTAGAATATAAAATTTAAACCTGAAGATATTAATATAAGGTATTGTATTTTTCCTCTTTATTTTTTAAATATTAATCTAGTGAATCCGGAGATTACACTATTAGTACCTCATTATATGGATTATCAAAGTTTACTTAATCAAGCATATCTATAAATAGAATTTTTAAAGAATTCATATAAATCAAACTTTATACAGTTTGGGGGAGGCTGATAATCTATATAGAACATTAATAAATTCATTAAATTGGGAAAATCGGTATGATATTTCAAAACTAACTGGTGAGAAAATATATAAATCACGTTTAATAACATGGTTTGGTGATGTATCTTATACATATTCTAATACACATCATGTACCTAATAATAATGTAATTTAATGTTAGTTTATATACAAAATTTAATTATTATCATCAGTGGCACCCATTGTTAATTAAAATTAAGGCTGATGTGGAAAGATATTGCAACACTAACTATAAATTTTCAGAAGATAATCAACAAGCAGATTTAATTAGTTTCAACTCTTGTTTGTGCAATTTATATAGAAATGAAAAAGATGGAGTTGATTGGCACAGTGATGATGAAATAGAGTTGGGTAAATTTCCATTTATTGCCTCCTTATCTTTGGGAGAAATCAGAAATTTTTTATTAAGACGTATTCCTGATTCAGTAATATTAATTAATTTATATATACTCAATCTAATAATGATCTATTAATTAATTTTTTTGTAAAAACACTTTCCAGGGTAATATTGAAGATTATGAATACACACAACAGATCAAGGTTCCATTAAACCATGGTAGTTTGTTTATTATGCAAGGTGCAACCCAAAAAGACTGGCAAGTAACATTATTTAATACCAAAATTATTCAACCTATGATTTTTGGAGTAAATAAATTAAATCTTTATAAAGCATAGTTTTGCTATAATTTTAATTTTTTTTACTCCACTATTATAGCAATAATTTGTAGATGAATAAGTTTATTTTATAAAAAGCTTATATATATTATTGGCAATATGCACAATCAGGCAAACTTATTTTTACTCTTACTTTACACACGTTTTTTTTATTATATTAAATCATTTGATATTTTTAAATGAAAATCAAGTTTATAACATTTAAAAAAAGTGTGGCTTCATCATTATAACTTAATTTTTTAATTTAAAAGGTATCTTTACCTACAGTATTTAGATGATTTTCTATCACACATTTCCATTTATATTATTTAATATATAATTCTTATAAAATTGTTTAACTTGCTATAATTATTAGTGAAATTTAAACAAAAAAAATTTAAAACATACAATAGATACTTTATTTATTTTTTAAAAAAATATCATATCTTTTTAAACATTTAAAATTCTAAACTGACAAAAAATAATAATTCTATCCTAAAATGAGCCAAAAAATAGGAAACTTTATCAAAAATTAGCAAAAAAAGGAAATTAACTAAAGGAGAAAAACATTAAAATTTTTAAGGGGCCCTCCAAAATTTTAGGGGTTTGAACCCCTAAGCATCTCTCCTTAAATGACGCTATAACTGCAGCTTTTTAATATAATTGAATGGACACAAATTGCAATCATAAAATATACACCAATACCGATTAGTATTTGAAAACGTCTAATTAGTCGATTTTTCAAAAACGGTTAAATTTAGATTTCATAAATTAAAAGAAAAAAAAGATGCTAAGAATTTTTGCTTCTTGTTTCTTTTTACTTTTACAAATGTAAATTAATAAATAAAAATTATAATTTTGCCCAATGAATATTCTTATATTTCTTTTGGTATTGGTGGTATAAAACATAATAATGCCTAAACTAAAGATTAACAGCTAGTTTGTTTATGACGTGTTACCAGCTGATTTCTAATCAGCCTCAGATACATTTTGTGGAATAAATTATCAGTCAAAGTAAGTATTATATGTCATTTAGTAGTATCACTATATCTCTTTCTTTCTTCTCTATTTATATAGCTTAGTTGTTTTTTTATAACTCAAAACCCAACCTATTTTTTCTCCTTTTAAAAGTTTGGGTGAGGTGTTAAATTTTAATCATAACATCAAGTTCGCTATAATTGTTTTTTTCCTTTTTGATTAATTTTTATTTTGTTTTTTGGTTCGGAGGTCATTTCATTTTCAAATCGATTTATAAAAAAAACATGATTTTCTCAGGACTCCCTGGGATTTCTATGAAATTTTGTATGCAAACTAAGATATACGTAACTAACACACGTTTAAATTTTAGCATCCTAGCTCTTATATTTTTGTAAATACATGAGTCAAAGTATTAAAAATATCCTATTTTTAGGTTTATCGATTGTCATTCAATTAAAGATTTACGAAAACTACTGAATATTTAATAATAAATCTGATATCAAAATATAAAATGTATAAAACATTCAATATTATATAACAGAATTTTTTGTAAAATTTAAAATTTTGCATAAATATTTGTTGTAGATTCTTTAATATTATTTTAAAAAACTAATATCATATAGGTAAATTTTAAGTGAAATAAGAACAATTAATTACTTTATTTTATCTATTGAATAAAATAATATTCTTGTATTTTTTTAGTGCTTTTATCTATTTTTTTCCATGACTAAAACTTGGTTGTCTAATTTTTTTTAATATACAGATTTAGATTGGTCTTAATGGCATTTGCTATTAATTTTATTAGAATTGAGAAGCTCATTATTTTTACACTGTAAAGAAAATTGAATGTGCACACTTAATTTTGGTATTAGAATCATTATTTAATATCCAGTAGTTTTTAGTAAATTTTTTTTATATGACAATCGATTAGCATACAAATAGGTAAATTTTTATAATTTTGCTCTTTGATATCTTCAAAAATATGAGCGCTATGATTTTAAATTTTGAATACTATTTTAATTACGTCTACCTAGTGATGGGACCAATATTAAACCCTATAAAAAAATAAAATAATGATGTACTTTTAAACGAAAATGCACTTCTTAAATAGGTAAAAAAAATAATATTAAAATAAACCAGCAAAAATTTTAAAACAAAAATAAAAAGATCAATATTAAAAACAAAGGAAAAAAAATTATACCAAGACAAAACATTTAATAAGTCCTGAATTTCTCTTTGTTCCTCCTACGTGTTACTTCGTTTGTATATTAAATTTCAAACAAATTACTAAGTTTCCAGAAAAACTGTGTGATCTATTTGACGATGGAATATTATAGCCTTATATTATATTGTATTTAATCTCTTTTGAAAAGCACAAAATTCCTAAAGAGTACCACGATAAAGGAGCAAGGATCAATTTAACCTTCAGACGAACTTATGACATTAATGCTCTTAAATTACAATAGCAATATTCTTCGGTTTTATTTAAGTTTATATTTAATTTTGGTACACATTGTATAATATATTTGAACTATTATGATGAAAAGAATGAATTATTTTATATATCTTATTGTAATTTTCAGTTTATATATTTTTTACAAATCATTATAAATCATCAATTAATCATATTACCAATTGCCTTTGTTTTCAAGGTTAATTGATTCTATTACAATAGTATTATTCATATTGTTTAAAAGCTTTATAAAATTGAAGTTGATTTTGCTTTGTTAATTTTTTTTTTACTAAATTAATCCAATTCAAATGAATAATATTTCAAGTATGAAGATAGTTTGTAAAAACATGATATAATTAAATAATTTGACATAAAATTTTGCCATGGCTATAGGTATTGCAGTATGTACTGTATAAAAATATTTAATATAAAAGAAATCGCGTTGATTAAAATTGGCATATTCATATTTAACATATTTTTGAATAGTTTCCTCTGCATATTGGAACAAAGAATATAATTTTATTTTATAGTAAAGCAAAAGCAGATTCTTTTCAAGAATGGATGAGTATTTAATGATTTATAGAAAAAACTAAAATTTGTAATATTTAAGAGGAAATATATTTTTTAATAATTTTGTATAATTGTTCTTTGTTTATAGATTTAGCAACCTGATTAGGAAAAATTATTGTCTTAGATCAGTTTAATAAGAAAAATAATATAATTTGAATACTTGATTCCATCTTTTTATACTCCAGTGCAATAGAGGGTTATTGAAATCAAGGCTCTTAGCCCTCATTAAAAAAAAGAGTTAGGGCTCAGTGGAAAATTCCTGAATCAGATTGAGGGTTCGGAGTCAAAAAAAATAAGGACATAAATAAAAGTTGAATTTCTTCGGATTTAATATAAACAATAACCCTTATCTTTTGCATAGCTCTAAGCACGAGCTCAATATCAGTTTTTAACCTGAACCGCTTAGTTTAATTCATAAAATTATTAATATTTCTCCTCATCTAATCAGGGCCGTAGCCACGGGGGGCCCGCCCCCCCCCAAAAAAAAAAATCCCTGCCCCCCCCCCGGAATTAGAATTGATTATTTTTATATTTTTAATATAAATTTTGAATTTATTCAAAAAACATGTCTATTTAGAATGATTATTTTTATATTTTTAAAATAAATTTTGAATATTTATTCTACAAACATGTCTAGTTTGTAAATTTTTTTCTATCCTGTTTTATTTTTATTTTTACCCAATATTAAATTATCATTCATTCATTTTTTTTTCATTTATTTTTTTTTTCATTTGTTTTTGTTGTGTATAACATTCTCTATAGGTATCACATTTATATTATAATATATAACCAATTATTTTATTTTACAGCGTTTATTTTAAAATTATGTAGAAACAATCAGTTATTAACTCTTATTTTAAGTTAAAGTTAAACAAATGTCAAGCAACATCACCTCTACAAACTACTAGTAATATTACATCAGCAATTTCAGAAACTGATTCTTCTCATAGTTAGTATAAATTTATATTATTATTTCATGACTTATATGATATTGATATAGGGCAATACCTATATATTATTATATTTATTTTATATAAGATAAAAGACAGACATTTAATATTAATATTATCATTTTTGTATAATAATTTTAATTATTAAAATAAATATATTCACTCATATTTCAAGATATGAATGAAGCTAATAATCTAGAAAATGATCCTCACTACACTCAGGAGGAGGAAGATGGTAAATAGTTTAAAATTTAACCCAAATTTTTCTATTTATATATTTTTGACAATATCAATAGGAGTAGGAGATTATGGTGTTTCATTATTACATTTTGATTTTAAAACAAATAAAGACGAAGTAGAGACTCAATCATCTTCATCTAGCAGCTCAGTCTCTCATTGTCAAGAGGGAATTAGTAATTGATTTATAAATATAAAAATATATTTTTTTGTTAATCTTTAAAGATATAATGTTTTTGACCTTTTTCTAGTTTTTAATACTGAATATCTATAATTTTACTGATCAACTTTACTGATGATCTTCATCAGGGTTGGGCACTACAGTATAGCAAATACTTGTATCTTAAATACAAGATAAATTTTGTGTTTGTTCATTTTCAGCATGCCCTTCCTTCGACCATCCTGCTGACCATTATTATTTATGACCCTTTCCCTCATTACAATTTATTAATTATAATATTTTTAGTGTTAAAAAAGTCCTCTAATGGTTCAATTCAAATCCCAGGTGACCTTGGCCAGAATAAATCAAATTAAACAATTACGCGAAAAAAGATATCCATGGAAGGCAAAGATCATTTCAAAAATCATGGTATAGAGGCCAAGACTGGTTGGAGTATAGTGTAGAAGCTGACGCTGCCTTTTGTTTTCCATGTAGGAAATACTTGTGTAATTCAAGTGATGAATTTAGACAAACGGGATTCAGAAATTGGAAAAATGCGTTAGCTGCCAAGAAGGGACTGCTAAAACACGAGAGCTCAAAAGTTCATTTAAATTCAATTACTATACGGCATGATAAAAATCAAAATATAAACAAAGGTACAGAAATAACTAAAATGTTGGAAGGTGATCAAAATCGTAATCAATATTATATTAAATCAATATTTGATTTGATGCTATTTCTTAGCATACAAGAGCTACCTTTCCGTGGGACTGGTTCAACAAATATTACGGTTGCTGCAAAAGATGAAAACATAATTTATTCTTCTGGGCTATTTATAGCAATGTTTTCCTTCACCATCCAAAAAGACCCTGAATTAAATAAAATTATGAAATTTATACCCCAAAATGCCCAGTATACATCACCACAGATTCAAAACGAAGTAATATCCATTATGGCAGATATGGTGCTTGAACATATTTCAGACAAGTATAATAATAAATAAAAGCGAGATGCCTTTTTTTTGTCTTAAGGCTGATGAGACAAAAGATGCTTCAGGTTGTGAAAACTTGAGCATAATAATTCGCTATATTTATTCTGGAGAAATCCAAGAAAATTTAATAGGAATCATAAATTTAGGGTGTCTTTCTGCTGAAAGCATTACAGATTGCATTTTAAAGCAACTTAATGATCTAAATATTAATTCAGCTAATATAATAAGCCAGGCATATGATGATGCAAACGTTATGTCTGGCCGAAATGGAGGAGTGCAAACACTTCTTCAAAAATAAATTAATAAAAATGTTCCTTTTATACATTGCTACAATCACAAGTTGCATCTTGTGGTTCAAAATTGGTATAATAATATTATTCTAATTTTTTTAATTTATCAAATGCATTGTATAATTTTCTCAGGCGTTTTAACGTATCTTGTAAATATACCACCACACCCTTAAGAGACTTTTAGACCAGAGGTGGACTGGTCATTTGGAAACATCTCGCATTATTTATGAGAATTTTGAGGCTATTGGTGAAGTATTATTTTACTTTTCCAATAGAACTCTTAATTCAGAGGTTTCAAATCATGATTCAGTCGAAGCCTCTGGTCTTTTATTTCAATGTATTAATATAAATTACATTATATTAGCCATCATAATTTATGAGATATTAATTACAATAGATCCACTAAATAATTATCTACAATCAGTAGATACTAATCTAGTGGATGCTAAAAATTGTATTGATTCTACTATCAATATATTAAAAAATAAAAGAAGTGATAATTCTTTTGCTTTGATTATGATTAAGGCTGAAAAACTTTTATCAAAATTTAATCTTACTCCCTAAAAATCATCACGGGTACGTAAAACGCCTAAAAATTTCCAAGATTTTTTAGTTGATAACAAACTAGAATTCGATTGTGAAAAAGATCGTTTGTGTAGACCGATTTACAGAAGATGATTTTAATCTTTTTTCATCTTTTAATACATTGTCCCCCCTTGACCCTGATTATTTTTTATCAGATAAAATGGCCCCATTAAAATCCATGTTAAACTTAAATATGGAAACACTGCATCATGAAATGAAGATAGCAAAAGGATTGCTAGAAGCTAAAAAAAATCATAATTTTGAAAATATCTTACATATTATGTATAAAAAAATATAATCATACATTTAAAGAATTATATAAATGCTACTCATCAGCGATAATCATTGGGATATCAACGGCTTCTTGTGAGGCCTCGTTCTCTACATTAAAGATAGTTTTATCGAGCAGTAGAGAGTCTATGAAGGATAAACGTAAACAAAATTTAGTATTAATTGCGTATGAAAAAAAGAATAACGCAGAATTTATCTTTTAGTTCATTTATATTAAAATTTAAAAATAAAAATCGCCGTATTCTATTATAGTAATATTTTGTTTTGTATATGCATATTATAGTATTATTTTGTTTTGTATATTCATATTATAGTATTATTTTGTTATTAAATTTTTAATAAAAATAGGAAAAAATTTCTATGAATGCGTAATTATTTGTTTGATTTTAAAAAAATAGTGGCCCTTCCAAGTAAGCACTTGGCCCCCCTAAGTGAAAATTCCTGGCTACGGCCCTGCATCTAATATAAACCCTTACTTTGTATCATTCCCCTAAGCTAACTCGGTCAACTAGAATTTTATCAAGCCTTAATATGAGCCGCATAGTTTGGTAAAAACTAAATTAAACTTATTGCCTACTTCGTTGTTTTTTAGATTTTACAAAGTTTGAGGGCTTTGGTGTCTAATAAAATTAGTGTTTCCCCTGATTTAATATAAACAACCCTTATCTTTGTTTCATAACCCTAAGCTAACTGCTAACACGGTCCATTAAAAGCTAATAGAAACCTATTGTTAGAATCATAATCATCTAATATTGGGCTTAGGTTAAACCTAGCTCACAACAAGCTTTAGCATGAACCACGAAGCCTAAAATATAACCATTCATCCCCTTAACTAAAGCATAGAGGGGGAAATTTTTTTAAAAAAAACACTCAGCTAGACACAAAATATAAAAAATTGCTCTTGGTCCAAACCTAATTTGTTAAATAACATAGATTATATGAATCAATATTTTTGCCCTAATAATATTTAATAGTCAAAAAAATGAATATATAATTAACAAAATTTGAAGCAAATGAAGTTACATTTATTAAATTAATATTTTAAAATGATAATCAATATAGGTTAAAAAAATCCAAATTTATAATAGTAATTAATAAGAATGAATTATTTAATACAAATTATAAATGATATATAATAAATATATTCTAACATAAAATTCTATATCTAGTTAGCTTCACCGAAATATTAAGATTGTAATTATATTAGTGACTAAAAGGCAAGGGAAGCATCGCTTCCCCTGTAATTTTCTCCTAAGAAATTTTTTAAAAAAATTAATATAATCTCTATGCTACGTTAAAATAAATACTATTTTTGCTACGTAAAAAAAATTTTAAATTATTTAAAATAAATCAAAGAAAAAAACCATTCCCATACCATATATTTTAGGTAATTTGTTTATTACGTTAAGAAATTAAACATTGGGGAACCAAATATAAAATTGTAGTGCTTTAAATTTTTCAAAAAAAAGGAACGCGTTCACATTCATTCAAAACATAAATAAAATTTTTTTAAATTTATTTATTATATATAAATACCATTTTTTTAAACAATATATTAGCAAAGTTTGAAATTAATAGTTTTAAAGTGAACAAAAAAATATTCTTATATATTATAAAAAAAATTTGCCTAATTCTAACTATATAAACTTTTATATATCATATAAAATTTAATTATTTATAATAATACTTTAAATAGTGTTTAGCCATTAAAATACAAAGCCAGATATAGATAATATTATAGTGATTGTTCACATAGATCAAATTAGAGGTTTTTAATTGGATTTTCATTTATTCACTTAATATTCAGTAAATTTTCACTTATATTTTTTTTGTATTTTGCAGATCAACAATATATTTTTTTCCAAATATGTATAAAGTATTATATTTTTCTTTAATGTATATATAGTGTCCTCCTAGTCCCCTATCTTAGCAACATAATGATTTTCATATATATAAATTCCAATGTATTTATATATAGTTCTTATAGTCCCTTACTTTATCAACTTATTGATATAATTTTCCCAATATATATAGTCCTACTATTTCCCTATTTTATTAACATAATAATATACTACTTCCTATATATATTATGTCCAATGTATTTTTTTTGAAAATATATAAACAGTCTTACTAATTCCCTACAGCGTCTACATAAGCGGGAGGGGTAGGAAAAGTTTGCATCCTATTTTTTTGAGGGGGGGGGGGGGGGTTAGGGGGTAGGCTGCTTTAATGGGGGTAGGATAAATTTTTTTTTTTGGGGGGGGGGGGGGGTTATCTATTAAATTTTGAGATGAAATAGGACAAATTTATTGCTGTAATAGTAATACAACTCATCGACCAAATTTATATATTGCAAACAATCATACACATTGTTTGCAAAATAAAACTTCCTGCTATCCGTTTATACGTAATTTAAAAGATTTAAATATTTCAGCAAGCTCATAATGCCATAATGCCATGATAATTAATTCATTGTAAATAATGGAGGTTTTAAAAGAATTTATTATCTAAAAAATAAATTCTTTATATTCACAAAATATCGATAGTTGGTAGTAGTGTAGTTAAAAGGCTCATTTTGAGCCGATTTTTAAAAACGGCTAAATCCATATTTTAGCTAGAAAAATATTAACTAAACCTAGAAATTTCGCTAATTGATGTCTAGACCTTTGTGCCATCTATGAGCAAAATCTTCAGACTTGCGTAATATTATTTTGGATAAAATAATGAGTTAGCCGTTTTAAAAAATAGGCTCAAATCGAGCCGTTTAACAACACTAGTTGGTAGTAGAGATTTATTAATTTAAGTTATCCTTTATAAATTCTCTGAAAAGAATATCAATAAATTAAAAAGGTAAAAATAATAATAGGGAAACATCGCCGCCGAATGTGGTAGTAATTTTTTAGGGGGATAGGCAAGGGTTTTTGAAGGGGGTTTGCATCCAGTGAAAATCCTGTCATGTAGACGCTGTCCCTACCTAATCAATTTAATTATAAAATTTTCCCAATTTATATATTCCTCTATTTTACAAAAAAAAAAAATACAACAACAAGATAATGTTAACATGATATATTATTTCCTTTAGTAGTATTAAATTAAAATATATTGTTTATTGATTGCATTCAAAAAATGTAACAATATTTCCCTTGGACATAAACTAAAGACTCTCTATAATTTTTTTATATAGTTCTTTACTTTATTTTTCACTTTCTAAAAGATTGATAAAGTATTTATGTTGTTTGTACTTTTGATTGTATTATCCTAACTTAGGATATCTCTCGCTTGCTAAGCAAATTTTTCCCTACTTTTCCCAATTTTTATTATTTTTATTTTATGATTTTTTTTTGGAAGTGCATGTTACATGTTAGAACTATATAAACTTTTTAACGATGTATTCATATTGTATTAATATACTTTTCCATTTTAGATAATGAAGGTTTAAGGCGATCGTTTTAATATTATAATTTGTAATTGGATAACGTTACTTTATATATACAATATTATATGATTGATTTACCTTGGATAAAAAAATAGATCGTATATTATAAATTTATTATATTTTGATATATATTATGAAGAAATTGATTTTTGAAAAAAGACTAATAGCAACTTTACATAACTTGAAAATTAACTTTGGTCTAAACAACCTCAAGTTCAATATCTCAATTTAAAAAAATTATCAAAACGTTTAAAATCTAACACTTTTAGTTCTTAAAAATTCTACTCTAAAACAGACAAATTCTGGTCATTTATAAATCCTAATATTTTGTATAAAAATCAATTTTTAGTACAACGCTTCGTTACAGAATTATATATTTACTTGTATAAAAAAATTTAATTTATTTCTATAGTTACAATTATTACATGACAATAGTATCTAAAATTGAATAATAATATATAATTCCATATTACTCTGCTAAAGAATGCTTTTCATTAATGACAATCTAAAAACAGCTGATGGTTATTTTTGAAAAACATTACACGTTAGACGTGCATTATCATTAGTCATAAATATAAATGTGACATTATTTTATTATTGATTGCTTTGTTTTTAAGATATGTATAGATATTATACATATTTACTAAGTCTTTTATTTAATCTATCATACGCTTATCAAAAATGGAATATGGAACAATGTTTATTAAATACACATATAAAAGATCATAACATTATTGACATCAAGATTTCCATTCAAAGTGGAGCTCTGTTTTTAACATTGTTTAAAGTCAAAGATATAAAAGAATGCTCTCGGATGTGTTGCCATACAATGACATGTTCCGTTTCTATTTTTGAAAACCCAGTTGATAAAGTAATCCTTTGTATCATTTTTTACTTAAGTTAAAATATAAGTTTTTATGGAATAACCTTCTTAGTATAATTAATTTTATCTATTATAAAATTTAACCTATTCATGATTAATTTAAAAAAGGTCACATTTTAATTATGTAAACAAATATAAATTAATCATATACTGATATTTGTAATCACTTCAAACTTGAACAAATTATTAAAATAAAATATTTTTATGTGAAAGAATTTTGGACTAGGCTTATGTTGGGTTGGGCTCAGTTAGGCCTATAAACAAATAAGAAATTATGGCCTGGCATTATAAAGTAATTTATAAGGTGAATTATCAAAGCTCTTAGACTTTTCATTTTTTTAGCTTTAAGTCATGAATAAATATTTCACTTACAAATTTCTAAAACTATAAAAAAGAAAGAAGGTGGTTAATTTCTTTTATAAATTAATTATATGTGATAATATTAAACAATTTTAACATTGGCCATTCCTATATAAGTTCTACATAAAATAATCATATAATTTTTTGTTATAGGTGATATCAACAGTCAACATGTTTGTATTGCTTTATTAAATATGCTAAAAAAGGTGGTCATATCTCTGATATAACCCAACCTTTTATTTGTCCTTTGTGTTTTTGTGATAATTGCATCTTTAAAAATTTGTCTCAAATTATTTAATATTTCCCAATAATCATTCTAATTATGTAATTTTTTGCATTTCTTATTATAAATCAATTTCTTATTAGTTTAGGGTCATTAGCTATCATAAACTATAAATAAGTACTAAATAATAAGGAATTTGGGATTCACAATTTTTCAAATATTATTTTTGACTGACATTACTTAAGCAGACTTTCTGAGCTTTTTTTTTTTTTTAATCTGAGTTATTTTTCTTACATAATATATCTGATATTTTATATTGGCACAGTCCTAAATATCAAAAGTATGATTATAGATATCTCTTTTTTTTAAATTTTATTTAAGTCTAGAAATAAATTTGAGATTTATATAGTCGCAATAGAAATTTTAAGTAATTTATTTAATTAAAACTCCTAAGATCTTAGAATTTGAAAAAGTCAGACTGGGTCTTCTTAAATCCTAATTTTATAGATCATCATTGAAGGATTTTAAATTATATAAATAGATTAATCAATGATCTGATCTAGGAAATTGCCAGTAAAATATATGTCTAATGTCTTTCATTGTTAATGAATATTATTTTCATATTTTTTTTACGACTTAAGAATTCCTTGTTCATCATTAGAAGAGGAAATTGTGCCAACAATAATTTTATTATCTAATAACATAATCCAGTCTGGCATTTTTAAAAGAAAAGTGTGCACTCTTCATATGCAAAAATTTGGTGTCTAGCATATAAATGGTGCAGAAAGTAGCAATATATCATTTCTAAAATAGTCAAATCTTAATATTTTTATCTGGCAACTAATATTTTGGTAAAATGGATGTTGATCACTATTATCTCTAGGGGAATTTTAGCATTTAAATAAAAGATTTTAAGTATTGTATTGTAACTGATATGTAATTGGTTAAAGTATGTAAGTTTTGATGAGCTTAATTTGCCTTTGCTTTTGAGTAATATAGGTACTAAATTATAAGCTTGTTAGATTTTAAATTTTAATAATTTGTTTTCAATTGAAATCAATGATAGATCTAATAATTGATTGTGACTCGTCCTGTTTTTAATAAGTTTTTATTTTTAAAGATGTGTGAAACAAATGATTGGCTTGGGATAATCTTATGAATTTGGGAAATATGAATTTCAGGATAGAAAAAGGTTGCAAGGAGTCAAAAAGAAGAAATGTTAATAAAATAATTTAAAATATACTGTAAGGAGTGACCCCCCCCCCCACCCTCACTAAATATATCTATGTTCTTTTATTTATTTAAGGTTATTGCCAAAACTTGTTTCAAACGTTTTAAAAACTCTAAGAAAGATTCATAGTTATAAAAATTTTACATTATTAAAAAACATGAATTTTTATTTTCCATTTAAAAGAAAAAGACTTATGTTACATGTTTTTCGATAAGGTTTTAAAAATTTTCGAATTAAATTTTTTTTTTTCAACGTTTTAGCAACAGGGTATAAAAAAATAGAGGGGAGGGCCAATATTTAATTTGCTTCCCGAATGTATTAATCAATCATAATATCTTAAAGTTTGTATAAAAATGATATATTGAACGCTGCTTCGTCACCGTAATATCATAAATTTATGATATTATATAAAAAGGTTCTTACATGTTATAATTTTGGATGAAAATCAAATTATAACCCGTTCAAAAATTGAAAATGGGTCTGGTTTAACCCGATTTAGTCTGGTTCCTATTCGGGCCCGTCTCGTACATCCATGACTGATATGTTCAAGGATTTTGTGATTCATAGATAAAGAATTTATATATTACTTTAAAAAAAATGAACTTTAAAATCCCTAAAATATTAAATAACCTCCAAGATGTCAAAAATAACTCAATAAATTTACATTAAAGGAAAAATTCCATTAATTATTATATTTTATTTGATAGAAAGATAATTCGAGCCCTAATTGTTACTTATTCTCATGTGGTTTGAATGCCGAACTATGTACTTTCGCTCGACACAATCATTATTCCCTCTCTTTTCATAGGCCCAAATCTCCTGAGAATATAAATTCTGATCCTAACATTTATCCTCCATCTTATTACTTCAATCCTAATGTGGAACACAATATACACCGTGAGGAATTTACATACGACTCTATCGCTAAAAATGAGGTTGGTGACCATGATGGAAAAATAAAAAACGAATCTTTCAGACCAACTGAAAGGGGTAACGTAAGTTTGAATAGCGATGGCGTCATGAAGTTAAAAAACAGAAAATTTGATCCCTCGAGTAACGCTAAGAATTTGTCATTTCAATACGATATAATCATGGAAAGGCACGATGCGAATGAGGGAGTTCGAACCAAATATTATATACTCAAACCTATTGCCGATATACCTAAGGAAGTCAAATTCATTGTAAATAATAGGAATATGCCGAATGAAATGAATGCATCAAAATTGAGCCTTATTGCGATGAGCAATAACGTCACGAAGGACATTATTACGCATTACCCTAAACACCAAATCGAATCCGAAATTGCCCATAAAAATGACGGGAATACTTCTAAATTTACTCCGAAATATGATCCCAATGACTGGTTTCGTAAGCATTATGAAGATAATGATGATAATATTAAGAGGTATCCTGGAAATTTCAATTATTTTTACCTACCATTCAGTTACTCCAAAGTGGAGCATAACAAAAACGATTTCAGGAGTTTGGCTAATATCTTCGTTAACGACGATGGAAGAAAATCTTATCTAAATTCCGAGGAGTTGGTCCAAAATGTCAAGTCACAACAGCCTAAAAGACGCGCGAGGCAAGATTCTACCCGGCATCTCGATCATGCCCATAACAACAGGAAAGGAAAACAAAATAATTTTTCCCCTAGATGGCTCAAGCTTACCCAATTTTCCGATGTAAAGTCAAAGAATTTCGCGCCATATCCAACACCTTATCCATTCAAACGTCAAGCGTCTTTTGATAGTGGCTTAGAGCCTCTGCCTTACTTAGAGAGTGCTAGACCACGGAATTATCCGAAAATAAAAGCCACGCAGTTGTTTTTAATGAAGGAACCCAACGATGCTTTAATGCCTCCACCCCGTTCACCTTTTAACGCAGGTCTCCATTTAATATTATTATTATAATAATCTATAAATATACATTTAATATATCAGAGGTATTTAATATTTAATTAATTCTTAATCGACAATATAATTATTTATTTTAATGATATATATTTTGTGACTGGTAAGTGATTTGTTCTGTAATCGATCGTTCTTCAAATTCGAACCCTTTCAATTTTTTTAAAAATATTATATAGTTACCTACATTCATAGTCGAATAGTCGGATTTAATAGCTGATCGATTTATAGAATTCGTTTAAGATCAATTTTTTCTATAATTCCATTCATGATAATAATCAATCTAAAAATTTTTGATTTTAACAAAGAAAAATTAATCCCATAAACAGATTTTAAAAATCGACTAGCTATAAAATCTTGCCGGATCGAATCCCAGAATCTAGCCTAAAACATGATAAAAAAACATTAAATTCAATAACCTCCTTTATTAATAGGTATTGATATATCATAGGCGAAAAATTCATCCGCCCACCTATCTATATAAATATTTGATTAGTTGATTTGATTTTTTATTTATTTTAACCCTTCCGGCGCCCGGAATATTTCCTATGAACAAAAAATATTTGTATTTTGATATAATAAAATAATGATTTTGATAGGTTAATGATAAAATACGAAATAATAAATATAGTTTTATTAATTAATATCTTTAAGTACCAACCCATTAGTTTCTTAAATATAAAAATTAATTGATTAAAAATTTTGATGACAAATGATCTCGCTAGGCGCGAAAGGGTTAATATTTTCAATCCGGGTTATATTTCAGATTAACTCACCTGCGGGTTGTTTTAAAAATATTTTTTAACCCGCTATCCAGCCCAATGTTAGAAATATTTTTAACTGAATCCTGCATTCACGGTTAGCGATGCAAGGTATCAAGCACCCTCCCATGTATTTCTAATCGGTATCTTACTAGGATATAATTAAAAATGTTATTTTTGATATAAAAATGACATGCCTTCACTATTTTTCAAAATATTTTAGATACCTTCGCCCATAGTTATAAATTTTTAAAATTTTAAAAACGTTTTTTATTTTTGACAATAATTATAAACAATGGCCCGGGTTTAATGTAGATAATTAATTTATCATAAATATATTTTCAATTATTGTTGAGCACTTGAATTTAGTTTAAAATCAATAATTTCGAAATGAATTGTTTTTATGTATGTTAGTACCTGCAATGGCGTTATATTTTCAACTTTAAATCATTTCGTGAACGTGTTTCTTTTAAATTTTTGAATTGTCGAAAATGTATTCCGTCATGTTTGGAAAACCTACTCTATGAATTTCAGGCAATCTTGTTATGAAATTTTGGACTTAATTATAATTTATATTCGTTTTTTTCCATAGACTCAAGATTTTTATTATTTAAAATAAAAATGTAGCCCAGATTCAGATTTTGACATCTCGAGAAAGAAATAATGCTGCCAGATATTCCCCATCGAATAATAAGCGATTGTATCAACCATCCATCCAAAATTTCAACGAAGCAGACGATCGCTCGAATTATTATATTTACGATCAAAACGAGAAGGCGGATACGACATCCTTATACGATTACAAATACCCTATTACCCGAACAAATAGTCAACTACGTATTATTGGTTAGTTTTATCCCAATATTTAATGAATATCATTGGAAGACATTGGGTATAGGAGATAAAACGGGAAAAAATTTATTTAAATATTTTCCAATGTTTTTTTTTATCTTCAAAGCTTTTAATGACTTTATTGATTAATTATTCTGCCATTTTTTTTATCTTAGATTATTATACACTTCATTATTGATTATTTTTACAATTTTAACTGCAAAACGAAATTACTTATAAAATGTTTCCAATAAAATCATTCCTTTATTTACAAGGTGGATACTATGCTCCAAACCTTTGAAAAGCGCTATTACTTAAAATTCCATAAATAATATATGCAAGTTAAATTTTATTTAAACCCGGTAATTTTTTAGTGATAACTGTCTGGGATTAATATAATCTAACTTATTAATTCGTTTAATTTTTCTTTCAATTGTTTTATAATTTTTTTAATACATACTTTTTATTGGTTTAAAATTTATATTAATTGATTATTTGAACCGGAGTTCCAGGCTGGTCAATTGACTTGTCAAATATGGTCAAATACTCTAATGTAATATATATTGAACGAGTAGTTATTTGATTCACATATATCCATTAATAAAAAATTGTTATTTTTTTAAAAAATTAAATATACCAAGTGCAATATTTTTTCGCTACTGAAAAATCAACATGCCAAGTACATTTAGTTAAACGAAGCCTGTTTCTTCAATAAAATGTATACAACAAATACTAACAACGAAGTTTTATAGGCTTCCTAGAAACTGTTTGCCAAATATGCCCACGAGAAATAAGTGATTATTTTTTTAGAACGAAGAACAAGTTTGGATGAAAATTTAAAGTTTCTAAGGAGACAATTGCACTTTGCCTTAAGTAAAGAATAATATGTTCTTTAGAATACCATATTATTTAATCATGCTAAAATCCAATATTTTCTCAAGAAGAAAAAAAATTATCTGTCACAGAATGCGAGAATGAATCAATTCAAAATATTGCATATACCAAATAAATGAATACTGTCATAAGGACATTTAATGAATTTGACCAGTCACTTACGCAGCAGGGGAGGGGCATGAGGACCAACCTCCCCCCCCTTTCAATCTAAAAAATTCAGATGCCAGCTAAGAAAAAATATTACTCTTTTATGATTATTAATTTATATTTTATAATAATCATTCCTAACTCTTATCGTATATATATTCCAATTACATTTATTTTTCACATTCACAGCTGAAATAAATACGCTACTAATTTGTTCTACGAATGAATAATTTTAAATTCTTGGCATTAAATTTTATTTTTCTATCATTTTAAAATTTCCCATCAATTCCTGCAAAACTAATAAAATATTTCAAGAAAATGGCATCGATTTGTGAGACAGAAGAATAGCTGAAAGTATTATATTGTAGCTTAAAAAAATTGGGGTAAATGTAGATAATGAATAATTATATGACTTTATTGAGTCAAAATCAGCTCTTTATGAATTTAATATTTGTCAAGCTCCACTCACAGCAAAGCAAGCCCATCGTGCCAATATTATTTATATAGGACTGGTCGAAGAATATTATAAGATAAATATCTTTATCTGCCTCTTGGATACTTTTATAACTCAAATGAATGAAAATTTCTTGATTAATCAGGCAACACTTATAAATTGCAAATAATTACCAGGGACATGGAATGGTACTTTGAGTAAATTTATGAAACGGGAACAAAATCGGAAGGTCTTCCGGAACGTTCCTGAAATCATATATAAATTTCTTATTTATTTTGCTCATAGATGACACAAAATTATGCGCAAGCCTGGAAATTTTGCTCATAGATGGCAGAAAGTTTTTTTACATCTTTAGCGAAATCCTTAGGCTTCACATAATATTATTTTGGCTAAAATTTTAATTGGGCTGTTCAAATTGACCCAAACGGCGCTTAATAAACTATACTCGACCCAGATTTAAACAAAAAGTAAACATTATATATTTTTGACAACTGTTATTAAATAATAAGATATTGATTACAATCACAAAATATACTTTATTTAATTAAAAATTATGTTATTTTGAAAAAAAATGTATATTTTTATGACAGATATTGAGTGCAACAGTGAATACGAATTTAAATGTCTTTCTGGTTCACCTTCTTGCATAGCTATTTACGATGTTTGTGATAAAATACCACACTGCCAAGATGGCAGTGATGAAATAGATTGTCCTAGTAAGATTTTTTTAAAAATATTATCGTATTTTTAAAATTTATATTTTTTTTTACTTAATAAAACTAGGATTTAAAAGCAAGACTAAGACTAAAGAAAGTGTGGCAATGAATGCCACAAATAATATTTTTACAAAAAATCTAAGCCGTTTGTTGAAAACAGGCAATGCGGACTCCAGGTAACACATGACTTATCTTCATTCAAATATAATCTGCATATTTAGGGATTCTTCATTCATTTATGGCAAAATATCTCTGTTTCGGGTAAATATTATATAGAAATATACATACAAAATATTACCATAAATTGTTATCATTTTGTCAGTTATTTTATTAAACATATTTACAGCTTAAATATTTAAATTTAAAAAAAAAATTTAGTCCAAATTTAAACTCAAAAAACGTAAATTACTGATCGGTATTCTCTCCACCCTTTCCGCTTCGTTATTCCTTTTTCTCCTCTGTTTATATTGCTACAGCTCCCATCGCCTAAATAAAAGCCCTAAGAAATATCTGGGCAATAATAAATCATGGAGGGCATCAAAAATTTTTAAAATTTTCCCGCTAGCCTATCTTTTCGATTTTGAATTTAACCACAAATGGTTTAACAAATATAACGGGCTTAAGAAGCCTGATAAAAAATATTACGTTAATGGTCTCACCCTGTTTGACGACTACCAATATGACGAAGATGAAGAAGATAATGATGAATACCAGGATACCGAAAGAAAAAACGTTAAAAAAGAGACTAACAAGGAAAAGGAGGGAGGGATCTTAGAGGACGAGTTGTTTCGTCGTCAGGACTACGAAATCGGTGCAGGGAAAGATACTCATGATGTGGTACATAATGGACATAATATAAAGGGTTTATTTTATTGATTATTTTTTGCCACTTTGGGATTTACTAATACTCTTAATTAGTGTTGTTTAAACGACTAGATTTGAGCCTATTTTTTAAAACGTATCCAGAAAATCATTATACAAGCCTGATTTTTCTCATACATCACACAAAGATTTGAACATCTATTAGCCAAATCTCGAGGCTTAGTCAATATTTTTCTGGCTAAAATATTAAATTAGCCGTTTTTTTAAATCGGCACAAATTGGGCCGTCAACACTACTCTTGATGATAGTTAGATAAATCAAAATCTGCTAAGAATTAAGTTGCAAGTTAATTTAATTTTGCTCTCATTAAAGTTTACTATATTTTTTTTCAAATAGAAATTTTTAGAAACTCCGAATATAAATTATTTTTTTAACAGGTACCAATAGAAAAGGTTTATTAGAACCATTACTATTTGCCGAAAATCAAGATTTTTATAAAAACGAATATTTTGATAATCATTACCAAGGAAGTGCCAGGAATAACATTATTAAGGTTGCCTTCAAAGATAACAAAATGTTAGATGGATCCGTTAGTATGGGTAGCCAACATTTTTTAGATTCTTTTGCCGCTAAAAAGCTTTGGAATAAAAAAAGTAATCAGAATAACAATGGACATAAAATTACAAGGGGTTTGAATAAGCCTAAAGGGAAAATTGGAAGGCATTGCACTCCTATAACATCAAATAATATTGAAAGCGAAGATATTTGATAAAGTGATTTGTTTAGTTTCCAGTTTAACAAAATATTTATAGCCATAAAAATCAACCAAAGATGTGCAATATTATAATGAGCATTATTTTTTTGTGTATTTTAAAAGCTCATTTTTAAAAAAAAATTCAGAAAATCCTCAATCATATATTTAACTCAATAATTTCGGACCATTTTTTTGTGCAATATTTTATAATAAATCCTTATATATATTATTAGTTTAAAGTCGCATGTATTTTTATTGCTTCTAGTATAAAACCAATTTTTCGTCGTCATTTATAGCAAAATATATAATCGTTTTTATAATTTTATTTTTTATAAATATATGTACAAAAGAGTCGTCAAATATATCTATTAATATATACATTTAAAGTAAGAATTTTAGTTCATGTGGGCCTAGGATGTTTCAGATATACAGCATTATTTGAACTCACGATCATCATTTGATACGTTTTTGCGAATTTTAATTTAATATGTTTCTGCGAATATAAATCATCATATGTATTTTGTTTTATTGAGAGCTTTGTGGGGTTGGTCATTTTCTACCATTGATTCCCAATCAGTTTTGCCTACCACAAACCCTATGGCTCTTTTCTTTGCTTGATCTTTGGCCTCTTCAATATCGGCCCATCTCACCTGTTTAAACAATGATTTGTAGTAATTAGTATTATGCCCCGTATTTAGATTAAAATATTATGTTAATATTTTTTAAATACCCTTTTTTTGCATGAATTAGAATTGATATCCGATTTATCGGTGTCAGGTGAAAGTCGCAAATATTCTTCAATGGAATTGATCTTGTTTACGTGGTCGTTCCTTTTTGATTTTCTCAAACCATCGAGCTTGTCTGATAAAGACAAAAAAAATACATAACTAAGTTACGCAATGTCTAATTATATTTATATAAAGAGCGCACTATCTAGCGAAAAAAATCAATATATTAAATATTTTAACAAAAAAATGATAAACATTTTTTTAAATAGATAAATCATGCGATTTTTTTTATTACCTAAATTCGTTTCCTTGGTTTCCATATTATCCCATCGAGATGGAATGAAAAAATGGTCATCATTAATCGCCTAAAAATTGGTTCGATCACAATTTAGTATTATTTTGTAAACGTTGAAGCGCGATTTATAAAATTTGGCAAGTCAGGAGATAATCAAATTATATTTAATGATATTTTTAAATAACCCAATGTTCTAACGTTAAGAAAATCAATATTCGCAGAGGATAGAAAGGATAAAATTATAGACATTTTTTTTTATAATTAATAACAAAAAACCATAATAAAAAAAATTGTTCATTAATAAATCTTAGTTTATATGATTTACTAAGCCCTTCAAACAACTCACTTTAATGGTATTTTCGTCCGTTTTTAGGAGGTTGGTGGTACTTTCATTTTGTAAAAAGTTTTTATCATTTTCATTCTTATCGAGATCTAGATATTTATAATGCAAGATCGAATCCACGTCTAACCTAACATAATTATTGGGACAGGTTTCCCAATAATTGACCAACTTTCATAAAAATAATATAAAATATAAGTTTAATTAAATGAAGTATTATAATCTCGATTAAGATAAATAGAGAATGGATTGTGAAAAATTAAAAATATATCGAAAAAGAAAAATAGAGAATGGATTGCGAAAAATTAAAAATATATCGAAAAAGAAAACGGTTCATATTTAGAATTGATTATTCTTTTTTTAAGGTAATAAATATCTAATATATATCAACCTTTTTGATCTCGTCAAACGTTCGTGAATGTATATTCCTCTCGAAACATTGTTTGATGTCAGCCTCTAGTTCACATATGTACACCTAAGGATTAAAGAAAAAGAACTATAAAATTGATAAAAAGAGTATATATAAATGTTTTAACGAATCTTGTGTATTTGATATAACGTGAAATCCTAATTGAGAAGCGAAATGAGATAAATCCCCGAGGTCTCCCAATTTTCGGTTGACACTATCCATAACGATAAAATTATGAGTGCCAGATGCCATGAGTTTTTTGATGGATTTGGTCAAGCTTTGCACATACTGGGATTCCATATCAGCTTCAAAATTATACTTATTATCCTATGTCAATGTGAAAATGTAAGGATTTTTAATTTATAGTATATTCAACCTCATCTATAAAATAGTCATCTAAAGATAAAATTCGAAGCATATCTGCTTTGTTCACTTTCGAGATTATATCCTGCCGTTTTTATATAAAAAAAAGTATTATAGAATGTGTTTCGTATGTTGTTAAAAATAATACTTTTATAAGTTTGGATAGATAAGATTTTCCTGAACCAGGTAAGCCTCTCATTATAATAAGCGCTTTATTGCTAGGAGAATCTAAAATATATTGGATCTTCTTGACAATAGGAGGATCAATGGGTTCTTGGTAATCAGAATAACTTTATGTAAAGAAAAATCGACATTAGGTGCTAATGAAACTTGGATTTTCCCCAATATATTACAATAGACGTCATATATCTATTGTTAAACAGGTGGAATGAACTGAAATAAATTATCTTATTAGAGCTATCATGATAACCTGACTCCAACATAGAAATGGTCTGAGTACTTTTTATTAATCGAATTACCTAAATATTTTACTAGCCATAATTTTAAAAATAGTAAAGGTAATTCATAATTTCTTCCTACTATATCAGAAATTTAAGAAAATGGATATAAAACCTAATGGGATAATGGTATTTCTAAAAGATCTATCATCTACTATTGTAAATATAACTATACTAAAACACATATTTTTCCTCATGTGAAACATTTATCTTGATTTCTTGTCATTTGAAGAAAACAATCGAGTCCAAATATTTTTGATCTGTATAAATAAAAATCTTTGATCTAAATCCTATTCAGGTTGAGATATTAGAATATCGGCAGCCCATTTATTAATATGAAGTTGTGAGAAAAATCTAATTCTAATAAGATTTATGAGGCAGAAACATTTTTTAAAAGGCTCTAACACTTAGAAATGAAATAGAAAATAAAAAAAGGCAGTGAAATTATCAAGTGTAATAATGAAGTTAGATAACTGGGAAATAATTTTTAAACTACCAAGGAAATATACTCCTTATCCAATAAGTTGAATTATTAGTTATTTCAAGAGAAGGTCAAATAGAATAAGGTTTTGGAATGATCTAGTCTCAAACGATTTAAAATATTTTATTATAATATCTTAAACATTTTCAAAAAATTATGATTCTTTTTAAGACTTGTTCAAGGACTAAAGATTCTATTCCTCAAGGAAATAAGAAGCTTTAGATAATCGTTTTCTTTTTTGATAAAGAATTTTTGGCAAGCTAAGAGCTAAATGACATTTTGGTAAAATTATTATTTTTGTACCGAAAAGAAGCAAATGAAGTTTGAAATTATAGATTCAGAGGCCCTAATCATATGTATTCAGCATTAATTTAGATGTGTCAATCAGATAGATAAATGTGTACCAGTAGTATTGAACTGGAGAAAGTTTATTGATTCAAATAAGATTAGACCACTAAAATATACACATAGATTTTAAAATTGATATCGGAAATTCTTCTTATAGATTTTCCAATCAAGATTTACTGGTTACAATTATTCCTTTCAACTTACTTTATTACCTTCCCTTTGCATCATGATTTTATTTATACAAACCATCAGTAACTTTCATGTCTGTATGTTAGTATCAGTGTTATTTTTTTAACTTTAAATCATTTTTTGAGCACGTTTTTTACGTTTAAAAAAATCTGATTTTATCACTACTCTGCGATATTTAGAAGTTTTGCCATGAATATTTGAACTTTATATCATTTTTATTTTCGGTAAAATTATACTTCTACGTTCTAAAAAACGCGATAAAAATGATTTTAATTTTAAAAAAATAAGAGTGACGATAGCATATATAGTGGCATCTATAAATACAATATTACTATAATATGTTATATTTAATTTTTTTATATAATTTAAAAGGTAGAAAAAAAACTTAAGTTAATTATTACTAATATAAATTTTTAGAAAATTATACCATGGTAGCACCTTTGCTTTTCAAGGCTAATGATTTGATTTGTGTCGATCCACAAATTTTTCACCAATCCAATATTTATACTTATTTACTATCTATCTTTGAACCAATAAAAATATCAATATTTTCTATTTTAAAAAAACCAACTAAAGAAATTATTAAGTGTATTTTGTTTTATTCACTAAAAGCTAATAATCTTATTTAAAATATTTGCAAGAGTTAAAAGGCTTGACTTAACCGATTTTTAAAAACGGCTCTCAAGGTTTTAGCAAAATATCCTCGAAATTTGGCCAATAGAGTTCTAACCTTTCTGTCATCTATTTACAAAATAAATAAGTTATTTACTTTTTGTCAAAATCTTAGGTTAACCGTTTTTAAAAATTTGCTAAAACCGTTTATACAAAAACAATAAAAATGTCGGATTGGTGCTAAATACCAGTGCCGATTAAGTATAAAATATCGGCACAGCCCTGTGAATGATAATCCCTGTCAGATAAATATAGCCAAGCTATCAAATTTTACTAAAATAAAAGTATACCCATTTTTCAATATAAATATTTTTATCAAGTAGGTCAGGTTAAATTATTTTGATAAAACGAGGTTAATTAATATCTCAGCCTGATATATTTTTCAAAGCTGGTGCATATTCTTTTAACCCCTATAAAAGTTTGTGCAATCTTTGCCACGCAGGTTTGCAATGGGCGGGGGATAGAAAAAATTAAATTGGATGAGCTAGTCAAACTGTTTTTAAACTAATGGCTGACAAGTTAAAAATTAAAATTTTCGGTGGGCTACTGGTTTAGATCTTAGCAACGCCACCCATGCCATAAAAAATAATTATAATTTAAATAATAATAATTTAGGGATGTTTTCATTTATAAAAAAAAAGAAAAGTCCGAGGGAGGAGGTTCATTATCCATGCAACAAAGGCTTGATTATATATAATGCAAAATTATATTTAATAGTACAACGTCAATTGTTTACTTTTTAAAATCGATTCTACAGATCAATTTAGGCATTAATTATTAGTTTTTTAAACCTCTCATTATCTCAATGGTCTTTACTCTTTAGTTTATTTGTTCCATCTCGATTTTGCAAAGCTGAGTTTAAGATAATTTTTATTTTATATTAATTCAAGACTACTAATAAAATTGATTAATGCTTAACTTCGTTAGATTAATCCTTCATAGTAAGAAAAGTAAAATTAAATCCATATGGAAATTTTTAAGCCTAATTTGAAAGTAATAATTTTCCATGCAATTAAGTAAAAACATGGTATTTTCGAAATATAGATTAGATCTTACGATATATGCAGAACTAATAATTTGAAACAAAATCTAAAAATTAATAGAAACGCACAATATAGCTTAAAAGCCTATGGCACATTAAAACAGAGCTACATATTATTTTAAGTTAATAGTGATCAACATTGAACGTTTGTTTTGTTGATTTTTCGGTGTAATATTATTCAATCTTAATGGCAATAAGGGAAGGAATCAATGATTGGGCAAATTAAAAGATAATAAACCTGTGAAAATTAGGAGAATCACTGTGATGGAAATCATAATTCACATTTTGGAAATGATGACGAGGCATGTCTCGCCTGCGTATTTCTGAACCTAGCATATTTATAATAATTTTATTATTTAAAAATGCCTATGATTTTGACACGTATAATATTTATATAATCAATTAAAGATTATTGATAATATTTCTAATAATTCATGTTATTTATTTCTTGAGTAATAACATAAATTTAATTAATAGAATTCCCTAATTAGAAGTGATTTTTAGATAAATATTCTAAAATTCACTAGAATTAAATTTTAATTAATAGAATTCCCTAATTAGAAGTGATTTTTAGATAATAACCTAAAATTCATTAAAATTAAATTTAAAAAGAATTTTCTATATAATTTTTTTTATTCAAACTCATAATAAAATTAAACATCATATTTTTTATACCACTTTTATTTTTGTATACCATAATAAAATTTACATTGAATATAATTTGTATATAATAAAATAATAATATGTATGGTGTATCTACTATATAAAAAAGGTTTCATTAAACACTTTGAAAGATCACTATCCACGCACAAATAGTATATTTATAACATTTAAATTAATTATTCCAACAAAAAATATTGTTCCCAAACTATCTTTAGCAATTTAAAATAAAATAATTACTCTCTTATATGCTATTCTTTTCTTAAACAATATGAAAATTTATTTACAATACAAGTTAAATATAAATGGGCGATGGATAGGCTTTATAAAGCTTATAGTAATGCAGTTAAAAAAATAACCTTACATTTACTTTATTTAAATTAATTAAACAAAATCTGTTCGAATTATCATTTTTGTTAATATGATAAAAGGATCATCAAAGCTTAAAATTCACTAATGTACGGAATCCATATAATAAGATATAATGTAATATTTAAATGTATAGTACATGAGAAATGTATTTATCAAAAAAGGAATCTTGTAGCAGCGATTACAATTTGCTGTATAGATTTAGGGTATCTTAGATACCTTATTATTTGATTTGATCTTGAATTTAAATAATAAAAGGGAAAAGTTTATTAAATTTTTACAAAAATAATTTATTATAAAAAATTTTTAAATAATTGTCTGCAGTAACCCTATAACTTAGTCATTAATTAAAAATAGAGCTTTATGGTTATACAAGGTTAAACTACTATATAATTTTATCAATCGTTCATATCAATTACTTCCATCGTGAGCAGTAGCCCCCTGTTGATACTCAAAATTATCATTGGAGTCATTATGATCATAGCTTTAAAAGAATTAATATAAATTATTCAGTATTTCAAAGATAAAATAGTTTGAAAAAATTTCCAATTTATTGATAATGAGATGGCCTTATGCATTTTAAGATTTAAATATCATTAATCATTATAATTAGTAAAAAAAATATGTGAAAAAACATTTTCTGCCCTTGCAAAGCTCTCAAAATGTATATATAATTCGTTACCCTTGTGAATCATTTTGATTATCATCGTATGAAGAATCATTGTTGAACTGATATTGCTGATCATTGTTTTCATTTTGCCAAGAATTGGAACCCTGATCATTGTAATTTGAACTGCAAGAAAGAAATATATATATACAACAATACTATATATAGTTTCAAATTATCAATGGTATATTTATAACAAAACAATATTACCCAAAATAATCCCTTTTCCATTTTTTTGAATCTTTGTAATAAAAATATTTAAATTCATTTAATTACCCTCCATGTTGTGAATTTTCTTTCGGAGAACGACTTCTATCTCTCCCTCCATCCCTATTGATAAAAGATTATAATGTAAAAATTAATTTATTTAGGTTAGTCAAATCTCAGCATTTTATTCTAAGCTAAGTATGAGCTAACTCAATTTTAATTTTAAGCAAATATTACCTCCTATCAGAGATTCAATACTCAGGGTATTGGTCAGTATGTATAAAGTTGGCCCAATTCGTAATTTTTAAAAAAATTCGATTTTCCATATTTATTATTTAAATCAAGATTTAGATCAAATACTTTTTAATTAGAGAAGTACGGATTTAGATCCAAAACTAACATGTAAGAATTTTTTTAATTCAGTAATATACACCTTTGGAAATACACGGGTAATGCTACAGGTGACCAGGTCATAAAATTTTAGAAAATAATAAGCCATAAACTAATTTGATTTTTGTCAAATATAAAGCTGACCCATTTTTAAACTGTTCAGGTAAAATAATAAAGTTTAAAAAATAGAAAGGTGGTTTAGCAGGACCATTATACAGGGTAAAGTTATAGTAAAAAGATTATTTACATCAGCTTCAGTAGAAAGAGTATTTTCATCATTAGGAGTGCATTCCAAACTTAAGATGTGTTTAGGAAAATTAGTTTTCTTTTAAACAATTAAACTCAAATACCAATGTCAGGCATATGAAAAATACTTCTAATTATTAATCTATTATTATTAGAAGTTTGTTATAATTTTTACAAAAATGAATAATTTCTCACTACATTGATATTAGAATTATACAATATTTTATACATTATATCAAAAATTGTAATAATGAAAATCAAAATAAATAAAGTAATTTAATATTTTTATTTAATAAGTCATGATTACAAGTATGTAGTAAATAAAAATTTTTTAAAAATATTGATATAAATTAATGATTTTTTTAAATAAATCGGGGTAATTAAAATCGCTAAATCAAATTAATTTTCATTAGCCAATTCTAAGTATGGATATTGGCAGATACTTTTGATTTTACCAGATACCTGTGGTCTCAACATAAAGATGTTAAACATTTAAAATTGTAAAAAAGATACTATTCATGGCTTTGTACACATATATAAATTAAATATAAATGATAAAATTAAGAGATAATAATGCAAACAAATTGGGGGTTTGCTGTGAGACTTAAATTATATTACCATTTGGAATGCATTATTTGCATTTGAAAGGCTCAATTTGTCCACACTAATCTCATTGCTTCTTTTAAATAAATATCAAATTATTATTTTTTACTATTAGTCAATACTGTGCAATGTTATCAGTAATAGACTAAAAATGGTAACATCTCTGTCTTTTAAAATATTTAATAAAGAATAAGCTCGAAAGTATATAAAAAATAATATGACGCATTATTTAGCTGACCTATTATTTCCCCGCCATTTACCACGTCCTCTACCGCCACCACTATTACCACCATATCTAGATCCTGAGTCTCCCCTTCCCCTTCCACCAGCACCCCGGAAACTGGGAAATGGGCTTCCCCTTGCATTGAACCTGGAGGGAGGAGGCCCAGGTGCTCTACCTCCGCGAAAATTCATGGCACCCATACCTCGCATTCGTAGCATCCACATCATACGCATAGCCAACATGGCGTTTGGAGGAGGATTGAAACGAGGATTACCCATGAGAGGAAAGGCCGGACGATTTGAAATGAAGTTTGGATTAACAAAATCGCCATCTAATAATATATATTAAAAGTATTAATGTGTAAATATGGTATTTAAAAATAAGTGTATAAGATAGAAGTACTTATATTTTCAGATCCAAATTTTTATAAAATTAGATTGTTGAAAAAAAATCAGGGTGTGAAACCAAACCATAAAAGCGGTATTATTTGCCAAACCTAACTGAAAAATTGCTTTCCAAACCTGAGCCGAACCTCAAAAAGGTATGTGAACTGGTTTGAACCATTAGATAATCCAACTCTTTTAAAGATGAATATTATAATCAGATATTGCTATTTGACGTCAACTACCTAAATTAGCATATAGAAGTGTTCTCACAAAATTTATTCTTCCTTCTTATAGAACCAAACCTAAATCATGAACCGTTATTTTTGTCTGAACATTTGGATTCCTGAAAAAAATATGTATTCCAAAAAAACGGAAAAATTATAAGCACTAAACCTCAAGTATTATTAAACAAGTTCGAGATCATTCCTGAAATAGTATTCATATAAATATTAGGAAAATAAAAAGATTTAAATTTTTTGAAGGTCTGAGTAAGTGACAAAAATATTTTTTAAATTAAGGTTCAAATCTAATTTAGTTCGAGAAAATCTGTCTAATTCTGACCAGCCCAAGAGTCATATCAGACTAGGTTTGGGTATCAATTTGGACCAGTCCATGCTGAGGGCTTCTACAAAGGAGTTCAAAAATTACCAAGCTACCATAGCTAATCTGAATTAGAAACTGATATAAAAGAAAATTTAACATTTTAACTTAAAAAGTATTTATGTACAAAATCTTTGTGGTTAAAATAAAAAACCAGAGTGATTAACTAGTACATATAGTTTGAAGAAAAAAAATCAAGAATTCTTTTTATAGATCTAAAATAAAATTTTAATTTGGGGTTTCAAAGATATTTGCAATAAATATCACAAAAAATTTGAAATTTTATATAAAATATAAAAAAATATATATTTTCACTTGTTTATATTTAATGTAAACAAGATACACTTAACTACTATAAATGCACTTATATTTTAAATAACATCAAATTATTGCAATTCAAATTGATAAATTGATATGGTGCAGTTATTGTGATTAAATAATAGTCAATAAATTATGCTTTGATCTTTGTAATTGAATTTTTTTGATATAATAGTTTATTGAATTAAACGATTGTAATTGTTTTTTTTAAATATATTAGTTTCTTGAATTAAACTAGTGTCAAAAAAAAATTGGAATTAAGTCCACTACCTCATTCAAAATAAGTATCCAGTATATCATGAGTAAAATTATTATTATAATTCACTAACCATCGCCACTGTTTTGATCATCTTCGTTATCATTGGGTTCATTGGGAATGTCAAATCCTTGTTTCTTATTGGCTGGCGGAGCTCCAAGCAAACCTCCTTTGTTAGGAAAGTCACCTTTGTCAATAAAGTCCCCTTTGTTAGGAAAGTCATCTAGAGGAAAACCCCCTTTGTTAGGGAAGTCATCTTTAGGAAAACCCCCTTTGTTAGGAAAGTCATCTTTAGGAAAACCCCCTTTGTTAGGAAAGTCATCTTTAGGAAAACCCCCTTTGTTTGGAAAGTCCCCTTTGCTGGGAAAGTCACCTCTGTTAGCAAAATCTCCTTTGTTAGGAAAGTCACCTTTGTTAGGAAAATCCCCTTTGTTAGAAAAGTTTCCTCTGTTGGAAAAGTCACCCTTGTTAGGGAAATCCCCTTTTTTAGAAAAGTCACCTTTGTTACCAAAGTCACCTTTATTAAGATTGCCACCTTTATTAGGAGACCTGTCTGGCTTTCTTTGATAATTTGAGGAAGTATTCTTAAAATAAATAATAGCAAAATTTATATGTATAGATTGGTATAATCTGTCATAAACAAAAACACACAAAAAAGGAAAATATTCCGAGAGCACAATGCTGGTCAGCAAACAGATATTAGTTAAATTGTATAATGCCCTAAAATTTTAGACTGAGTCTAAAAACTTATCTACATAGGTTATAATGTTATGAAAATCTTTGATTTTCTAATGTTGTATGTATGCTTATTTTATTCCATATAAAATTAATAAAATGATTGCCAAGTAGAAATATTAGTGAATGAGTACATTAAACTTTAAATAAAGATTGTAGTAATAAAAATATTTTTAACTAATATGAAATAAACAGTATTTAATCTCCAATTAATGATAAATAAAAACCATCTGGCAATAGAGCATCTTAATTTACAATTGGAGATTTAGTGAATAAGCCTATAGCTTGATTATAGATCTGGCCAGTTCATAATTAAATTGTATTGGAAACAAGTGAGGTTTATAAATAAAAGGTTTTTTTTTTATTATTTTTTAAAAATGATAAATTAATAAACAAGATATTTGGTTAAAATACAAAAAAAATTTATCTTTATGAATAAAATATTGAAAACTGTTCATTAATTATATTTATTTGTTTAAGATATATTTATATATCTTAATACATTTTTATTGAATTGCAATCTATGTAGTTCTGTTAAACTAGAGATGTGAACCTGAACCCGGGTTCAGGAATTATAACCTTTATTTAACGGAAATTTTTTATAACAGGAACTTAATCTAAAGAGGTAACTTGTCTCGGGTCCGTTTTACCCCTGGTTGATAAGTTGTCCATAAATCGGTCTCTGTTTGGTAAATGCGCAACCAAACAATTATGTTCGGGTTCACATCTCTGCGTTAAACAGCTCGATTTAAGCTTATTTTAAAGCTAATTCGATATTTAATCCAGAAAATTATAATAAAAGCCAGAAGGTTTTTTCATAGATGTGGCCCAAAAGTTTGGACATTTAATAGCAAAATCTCGAGGCTTGGCAATATTTTTGGCCAAAATATATAGTTAGCTGTTTTCAAATGGGCTTAAATCGAGCTATTTAACAACACTAAATCTATGTATATGTGTTAATATACATTTTTTTATTTTCCAGACTAAACCTAGTCAGATTATAAAATTTAGAATCAAATATTGATGAAAAAATTGGTTCCATTACATCTTTACTTGTAATTAAAAAAAATTAAAATAAATCAGTATTTGCAAACTCGTTTTCCAGTGTTAGATCCTCCAGATCTATTGTCATTGCCACCCCATCTACTAAATCTTTTCCTTTCACCATTATTATTTTTATTATCATCAAAGCCTCGTCCATCATTTCTCCCTCTATTAACATTTTCATTTGGTGGAAACAATGGTTTGGGTTTGGGTGAGAAAAGTGGTTTGGGAGAGTTAAAGGCAGCTTGATTAGGTTGATACTTCCCATTGAATCCTGAAGAGTTATTCATCATAGCTGCCGTCATATTAGGGTTGTAGGTATATCCCCCACCCATAGGGTTAAAGCCTCCTCCATTAAAACCTGTCATATTACCCCCAATATTGCTGGCTGATGGTTGTAAGCCTGACATATTATTAGAGCTTTGTTGTTGGGACGTGTTAGCATTGTTGAAGGATGATGGATTGAAAGATGAGTTGTTTTGGAATTGAAGTTGGGCAGATGGGTTATTTTGAAGATGTTGGGCTGATGGGCTGATTTGGGTGGATGAGTTGTTTTGGGGATGTTGGGCAGATTGAAGATGTTGGACAGATGGGTTGTTGGAAGTTAGTGATTGTTGGTGGAACATTGAGGAATTGTTTGCTAATTGGGGATTTATATATAATAAGATGAAGTGATAATATTTAGTAAATTACATTTTTTATAAATAGAGATAAGGTAATATCTAATATTTGATATTTGGAATTATTTAAAAGGCAACATATTCAAAATCACACATTTTAAAAAACCTCCCATCATATTAACATTGAATCCTGCCATTTGCATCATAGCTTGATTTTGTTGTTGCTGAAGCATTAGGTTATTCTGTTGAGACATCATCTGAGCATTTTGGTTTGGGTTGTATATGATGGGGGCAGATTGAAACGAGTTGTTAAATGGGAAACCCATTCCCATCATAGAATTAGAAGCAGAGGGAAAGGGTGATTGAAAGGGTTGATTGGCGTTGATATTATTGACAGTAGTGGCATTATTACTAGTCTCCTTTGTCTTCAGTTCAGTAAGGGATATCTGAATGGCAGATTTTTTAGTGCTAATCTCTTGCTTTTTAGCGTTCATTTGAGTCTTCCAGGTGTTCCATTGCTCCTCATATTGTTTAAACTGTTCCTTGTTAGGATGGTTTTTGTTTTGTTCTTTCCATTGATCAAACTGTTTCTCCCAATCCTTGTATTGGCTAATTGAGAAAAATGTTTAAGAAAATTTAATTCAACTCAAAGGGAATAAGAAACTTTGTAATTAAAAATAATGATTATAATAGTGTAAAGGATGGAATGTTTGGTAATCAAAAAGTGACATATTTGTAAAAATAAGGGAATGGAAACATTATTTTAAAGATTTTTCAAAAAAGGAATATGATTCAAATGTTCCAGAAGCTCCCAAGTTTTTCTAAACTATTCCAACTTGATATGTTTTTAATATAAAACTTAAACTAACTGAACCTGAACATTTTCATTCAAAAAATAGGAGTGGAATAGGTAGCAATAGATACGATAAATTATAAAAGGATCTTAAGTGAACAGAATATAAAATAGCATTGTATTAGATCCCCCTGGTTTAAAACCCATCGTGTCGGACTTGGCAATCAAGTGCTGGATAATAATTACCATGTTTCTTTTTTAGTTTTTGCATACTATAATCAAAGTAGTTAAAAAAAAATTTAATTAGCCTAAATGAAACATCAGTAAACTCCTTTTTTGTTTATTTCAGAAAAAAAAATAAGCATTAAAAAATAGTATCAGTATTCTTTGTATTGGAAAAGGGTTTGGAAGATAAAATTTCTCAATCAATAAATGAATGAATTTGTGATTATCTTAGGGATATTTATTCTTTCTATCATTTTAACATTAATTCATAACAATACAATTATGTTTTAGCCAAACCCTTTCAATTTTGAGAAATCATGTATACAATACTAAACTTGAATAAAAATATTAGCTCTCTTGCTCCTATCTTGTTGAAGATATATAATATGTCAAGGTATTGAATATGACTAGGGTTGTATCAATATGATAAGTGTATATATTAGATTTTTAGAAAAAAATTGGAATGACCGATATTTTTAAAAAAAATTAATCGATACCAATTTTATATATATTGAACTAATTTTTCCCATTCTCATAATAAATCATCATAACTCTAATCAAAAAGTGTAAAAGAAGGTGGCACTTATAAAATAAAAATGTTTATTATTTATTTTATATTTATTAAGGATAGTAATAAAAGAAAATTACCCAAAATTTTTGTATATTTTTATGTCTATTGTATATTCCATTGTTTTTATATATATCATGCTAATTTAAATTTCTTATTTAACAAAGATATCAATGTTTTATTTCCAATCAATCCTCTTTATTATTGGAAAGTTCATGTCCTAAAGTTTCCAACTTTGGCAAACCTTGCAGGTAAATATTTGGCATCTCCTCCAACAAGATCAAAAACAGTCTTCATAACAGATAGTGATATAGTCCTCATATGGGATGGTTATTATCACATATACTTTAAGCTCTTCTTTATAAGCAATATCCTTAATTATAATTTAAAGTATTTCATTATTTATTATTTTATTAATTGATAGTATTTATTTTGTTTTTACTTTTTATTGAAATAATAAAAACAGTTTGTTATACATAAAATTTGATATGAATATAATGGTGCTAGCATATAAACTTATACTTATTAGCTAAAATAGGCAAGAAAATTTTGATCATCATAAAAAGATATATTATGGAACTATATGTATAATTAATCTTTAAGGGCTGTAACTTAATAAAATAAGAAATTAAATACTATATATCTTTAAATATAAATCTACAAATTTAAAGATAAGGCATATTTTATTCCTATAGCTTTGACTCTTGATTTTTAAGAGTTGGGATAAGTGAATATTCTGAAAAACGTTTTTTTTTAAAAAATAGACAAATTTTCATTATTCTTTTATCTTATATTATATAAAACAATGACAAAAGAATCTATGTAAATGTTTAAAATAAATATCAAAAATATAGGATTGGTAAAAAAAGTGCAACCCTAAAAATGACATAATTCAATTTAGGCTGAAAGTGAAGTAATTGTAACTTAAAAATAGAGAAAAAATTTATCATTTATGGCAAATAGATTGTGTTGTTCAAATTCCAGAAGGTGAATATTTTTAAAAGGTTTTCCTGTCCTCCTGTAAAAAAATATTCAGCATGTAAAATTTGTAATAATTTTTAATTATGGATAGATATAACTTTGTCTAAAGTTTTTTAAAATTCTAAACTTCAGACCTGGTCATTGAAAATATTTTTATAATTTATCGACCTCCACTTGAAAATCTCTTTACCAAGACCATAGATTGAGTTTTTGGTTGCTCAAACTTGTATTAAGAAATAATCGTTTATATTATTAATCATTAATCTAATACCAGTGTAACGCAATAGATTAACTTGCTCAAACTTTTATTAAGAAATAATAGTTTATATTATTCATCAATCTAGTACCAGGGAAACGCAATAGATTAACTCCCCTTATTATATATCTCTAAGTTAAGATATCGCTATATATATTCACTCCCCCTTTGATAAATAATTTTGAGTTGATTAATAACCAAGATTTTGATTACAATGCAAATTGATAGTGGAGAGTAAAATGATTATGTATTTTTTTTATTGCTAAAATTTTTGTAAATTAGATTTTTGAAATCAGTCGAATTTTAATTTTATTAATCTAATTTGTAAAAAACTGGAATCCTCATTTCAAATTTTCAAAAGTATATTATTTGTGAATAAATATTATAAAATAGGATGACCACGATAATGTATAAAATTATCTAATGAACATAAACTACCAATCAACCTATGTTAGGCATCATGGCAATAAAAGAAAATTGAGAGTAAAAGCTAGCAAGTTTTAGTGCGGAAAGTAATTACACTCCAAGTCAGAGAAACTCTCAAGCTCACTCTATAGTAGATATGAGACAAATATGACAGAAATGTCATTATCGTGTAACATATAATATACTATTTTAGAGGTATATATATACTCCATTTATAACACTTTATAATTAATTTTTCTATACTCTCCATTGACATTTTTACTTAAATTTTATTGGTAATTAACCATTTCATGAGTATGATTATTTTAAATGGAGCACTATTCAAAATATTTTTTTGTTTTACCAGAAATACAATGACAAGAAGATATTTTCAAAATAATTATTTCATTTACTTAAGGAGAATTTTAATGGCTGCAAAATGATATAAAATTTGTTACTTTAGACCAAAAATATTTTAAATATTTTGAGATTCGTTATAAGGGAAATGGCTCCAATCGAACTTTGAATGCTCATAACTCAGGATATATTTAAGCTAGGACATTAAAAATTTGTATTTGTATAAAGTATACAATTTAATTAACTTCTATGCCAAGTTTCATTTATTTTTAAAATTATTTGTAGTTACTCTATAATCAAATAAACCAAATTTTATTTGTTTTAAAAAAAGTAATTATTATGTAAAGGATTTAAAGGCTAAAGAAACACATTATGCTAGCATTGTTAAATGGTTTGACTTATTCGACTTGTAAGACAAAAATATTTGACCATATATTGACTGATTTAGAGGCTCAGACTTTCCAATAATATCATAATTTATCATCACCATTTAACAACCTGCATTTAGCTATAAACATTTCCCATATTTAAAATGAGTTGATTAACTTTTGAAGAATAAAAAAAACAAGATACATTTATTCATTCTATGAAAGTTAGTTGGTTTTTTTTAAAAAAGAAAATATTGATTCTTTTATATTCGTTAAAGGATAAAATGTAAATAAAAATCAATAATTATTGTGATTTGATTGTTTTGTAATATAGGAAAATATTGAATGGGATAGGTGAGAATTTTGTCGTTCGACACAACCCCAATAATGAATGCTTTCATTTTGTATCCATGATAATAATAAAAAACTGAAGCAATTATAAAAGAAGTATTATTAAAAATTAATATCTCCAATAATATAAGAGCCATGAACAAGAGCACCAATAAACTATTCCCCAAGAGAGGGCATATATTATTTTTTTTGAATGTAGTTGTCATAAAAAAAACTCTGTAGCATCCTGCATAAATAGTACCATACACATTAAACTATTTAGTTAAAAACATTGGTATCAAAACAATAATTCAATCTTATTTATTCAATATCATTTTTTAATATTTTTTTCTAACTATATTGACTAGAAGAAGTTCAAATATCTGGAAAACTACATTAATATCATTATTAAAAATAGGATTTTCATTCATTATGAAAAAATCAGAATAAAATCTTTTAAATAATATAATTTACAAAGTAATTTGGAAATCTAAAGTGAATTATAAATTTAGTCATAAATCTGGAAATATAGTAAAAAATTAAGATGTTTCATAAGGAACAGGTTAAATACTTACAAATAATTATAAATACTTACAAATTATCTTTTATATCTACAATTGTTTCAAAATATAAATAATGTCAAATATTTTTGATAAATTTTGAATGAGATGAAAATTATCAAATACAAATAATTTGAAAGCATAAAAATTATTTGATAAATAATTTATTTTCCATTTCAAATTCTCAAATCAAATAATATGGCTATTCATTTTGTAAAATATGAATCAAATAAAATAGAATTTGTTTTAGATACAATTTGCATTGATAGCTAAGAAACTAAAATGTGGCAAATATTTATATTAGCCTTAATTAGAATATCAAGCATCATGAAAATCTAAAGACAAAGAATGACCCATTTTTAAAAAGGATTTATTTATTGTTTCTTCTAACAAGGCCTTTATATGTTATTACTTATAGTGTCAACTTATCAATAAAGATTTTAAATTTGGTAATAACCAATCAAATATTACAAAATATAGTTCCTTTGTTGTATTTATTTAATAGAATTTTTTAACATTTATAAAATATAAATAATTACTATATTTATTCATTTTTAAAATTTCAAACACTACATTATTTTGGCAATAAATCAAAATATATATTAGTGTTGATAGTATAGATCTGCAAATGACAAGATTTTCAGGTCCAACCCAGTTGGGGTGCTTTTGTTTGGCCAGGTTGTACTAACCCAGATCCAATTCCAATACTAAGGTTTATTATCCATTTTTAAATTCAGAAATATATCCTAATCATTGAGGATTTAGGTTTCATGATATAATTTTTAACTAATAAGCTTATAATGTGAGAAGTATTTATAAATAAAAGATCCATAATAGCAAGTCATAATTAAGTCATTAAAATCATAATCAAAATAAAATAATATTTTAACAAAATTAGACATTATTAATAGTTATTTTTTAATTCTCAATCAAGTGTTGGGCATTTCTACTCTTTTCCCACCAGACCTGACTCTTTCATTTATTTGTACAATCTGAATAGAACCAAATAACATGGTAATTAGAAATCCCTTTACTAAAAGCATTAATTTTTTGAAAAAACAGGTAAATATGTATTAAGGTAGTTTGTATTTTTTATGTTATTTTATCTTTAATATTTATTCTTTTTCCAGCTATTAATTTTAGTGGGTTGTATGTCTAGTTATATACAAGAAAGGTTAGAAAATAACATTATGTAAACTATTTCCTAATTACTTTAGGGCCAAATAAATAAAATAAACAGAATTTCAATAAATAAATTGATAAAAATAAGACATCTATTGAAAATATTTATGCCAAAATTCATTTCCATATTAAAAAACATTTTTTTGTGATGACGATGTCTGATGACTCATGTGTTAAAACTATCATAATCCTATAAAAAAATACATTGCATTTTTTAAAGAACCCTAGACAATTTCAAAGCATAAAAACTTTGTTATTATACCCCTGCCATTTTCAGCATCTATTGAACATGTGTTAGGTAAATCAAACATGATTAAAAGTTAAGCAATCCTAAAAATTGTTTATAGCTAAATATATTTAAAAATCAGTCCAATTATTTATAAAATTTTGGGAATTTTATAAATAAGAATTTATTTAATTTTTTTAGATAATAATCCTCTAGTTACTTTAAAAAAAAATTTAATATGGTTACTTTAAATTAACATAAGAGTATTACCTCTTTAAAAAAAAGGTAAATATTCAAATAAAGTAACCCAAGACCAGAAAAAAAAATTAATTATATTGTTATATTTTGTGGGGTAACATAAAATGTAATATTACTTTTATAGTATCATCTTGTGCCTATTGATATCTTATAAAGATTCCCAATCAATAACATACCACTATTTCATAGAATGTTAAATCAGTTGAGAAAGTATACAAAGGATTCAATATTTTTCCCCATTTCAAAATCACAATATACAAATTAGGATAATAATTTTGAGCTTTCTAATTATATATATATATTCTTTATTTAAGCATATTTAATAATATAGTCTAGAAAAATAAGGATATTTATCTAAAAAAAATAAAATAAACTCATATAAATTTATCATAATATGACAAGCATGATTTAACAGTCTAATAAATAGTATATACTTATATTAAATCATAGATGTTATAAGTTGGTATATATATATATATATTATATAAACTTGTCAAATTCTGTTTCCTCTTTTAAAACTAGATTTAACTCCTCGTTCTTTTCTTTGATTGATTTTTGGAGTTCTGGATCTGGTTTAGGTGCAACTTGAGGATTTTGGCTATTTATCCATTCTTGATATTGTTTCTGTTGCTGCCATTGTTGAGCTTGGATTTGAAGGGCTGCTAACTTTTGTTCATCTTGATTTGACTTTTCACTCTAAAATTTTCTTTATCATAAAGGCATAAAATTTTTAAATACTTCCGATTTTTTCTCTTCGACTGGCATCATAGGAAAGTTAGGCATAGGTTGAAAATTAGGGGGAATTCCTAGAAAAGGATTTGGTTGAAAATTGTTTGGCCAAAAGTTAGGCTGTGGGTTAGGCCATGAAGGCTGAATCTGTCCACTAATATTCGCTTGCATTTAGAAAGATTTTTTTGAAATGCAATAAAAATGGAGTTGTAAAAAGAATGTCAATCGAACAAAATTTTAAACATTTTTCACATGTTAATAAAAATATTATTTAAATTTATTAATTATTAGTTATATAAATAAATTTTAATCTATATTATTTAATATAATCTATAAATATATCCTGTTTAATTTTTTTATATATTATTTCTCTGTTCTTGAAATATATATTTTTCTTGTTAAACAGGTTTTATTGAATCCATACACATACTTATAATTAATTTAAACATTAATAACAATAAAGTTACTATTAAAATAGTTTTACATTTAATCAGACACCATATAAATATATGAAAAGTATTACGGGTATTGGGTAGTATTTGTAGAATCAAATAAAATATTACATTATATTAGACACTATATAAATAGCTATGTATGAAAAGTATTAAGGGTATTGAGGAGTATTTGTATAATCTAATATTTTACCCATTCCTTATAAAATTAAGAGCTATATGAGTAGCTCCTCCATATTGTTTACATTATTTAACATAGCTTAGAAAAAGGCTTCAACTGCTAAGTAACATTTAATTGGCGAGTCAAGATATATTATATCCCCGGCCATAACCCTATGAAGAAATAACAGTTGGGAGATTAAGAGATAAATTTGTAGAATTCAATTTTATAGATGTTTAAGAGGGGGCTAACATCTGTCCCATCCGTTTGTAAAATTCTTATGGCTCTGACTATCTTCTGGACACCGTTCACATCTTATATATGGAGACGAGAATCTAGCTGACGGATACTTTTAATTTTCTTCACTTAGCTGTCAATTCCAAGACAGATTAAAATAAATTCTAGTGTATTATCTTTTTGGATTGCTTCTTCTTAAAAAGACAAATTTTTTGTACTATAAAAAATATATTTTAGTTTCCTTTTTAATTACTTACTCAAAAAAAATATATATTTTAGTTTTCATATTTATCTTTTGAATGCTAAATTTATATTTTAATATATTTAAAACTGTTAGTTTTAAACTGTTAAAAATGTTTTATTATATATATTCATAACAGTTATTATGGTTAGCTCCGCTTAACAACTTAGGATGTAACTAAAGTAGCATAAAAAGTTATTAGTGAAAAATTATAAGAAGGCCGACCTTTTTAATTGATTTTATATGGTGCTTGTTGAAGGTTACTTTGAAGAAATATTCTAGTGATATGCGCATCAGAATCGCAGCCACCTTTGATACCAACCCCTTGATGAGTTGAATTGAGAATTTAATTTTGAAATATGGCCTTTTCAGCATTTAAATTATGAGTAATTAATAGGAGCAATTGATTTAATATTTTGTATATTTAATCTTAAGACGCAGGAGGATTGGACAGTATCAGAGTCTTTCTACGCAGGTCTACATGGCCAGGAGAGTGGAACAGTCTGTTTCTAATTTTTAAAGTTATAGGGGTAGACATTTAAGGGGATAAACTTGGAGCAGAATAAATAATTAAAAGGTAATTTAATATATTTTTTGTTAAATGGACAAAATGTATTGTAAAAATTAATGCTTTTATGATGGATCTATTATAATACAATGATATTGTCCAAATATTGATCAAATCTATATATTGCATACAATAGAAATATCTAAACTGAGAATGGACTTTTATTTTCGTAATTCTTAGAGAAATGATAGAAATTCCAAATTTTTTGTTCTATAAGATTATATAAGTTAGTAGTATTTACACTATTATTTAAAAAAATAGAATATTTTAAGGAAAATATAAAAACGCCTGATTTTTTATAGTATATCTACAAAATTCGTGCAAAAAATAAATACTTTTAATATTCCATAACTCTAAAAAAATAGAAAACTCTAAACTGAGAATGAATATAACTCAAGAAATGATAGAAACCTTAAATTTTTGTTCTTTGTGATTTTATAAGTTAGTATCTACAATATTACTTTAAACATATATAAATTTTGTTTTAAAATGACTAGAATGAGAATGGACTATCATTTAGGTATAATTAAAGAAATGATGGAAATCCAAATTTTTTGCGCTCTAAGATTATATAAAATATGTTACTATTTACATTATTTTTTAAAAAAAATTATTATTTTTTAAAAAATGACAAAACTGAAAATAGATTTTTATTTTCGATACAATTCTTAAAGAAATTGTGGAAATCCCGGATTTTTTGCATTTTATAATTATAAAGTTAGTATCTACAAAATTCGTTTAAAAATAAATATCTTTAATATTCCAAAAATCTAAGGTAAAAAAGAGTAAACTGACAATAACTTTAATTTTCAGCATAATTCGAGAAATGATGGAAACCCAAAATTTTTATTACTTTATGATTATAAAGTTAATATCTACAATAAATTAAAAAAAATTTAAAAAAAATGACTAATCTGAGAATAGACTTTTATTTTCGATAAAATTCTTAGAGAAATTATAGAATCGTAATTTTTGAGCTTTAAAATTATCTAAGTTAGTATCTACCATATTATTTCAAAAATAAAAATTAAATTTTTTGAAATAAATGACTAAACGCCAAATATATAGAAAATAAAGACTAAATTGAGAATGAACTTTTATTTTCGGTATAATTTTTAAAGGAAATTATCAAAATTAACAATTTTTGAATTTTGCGATTATATAAGCTAGTACATCAACAAAAAATTACTTATGGATAAATAAAATAATACAATTCTTATTATATTAGTTAAATACAAAATATAATATATTACCCCATACAGCAGATATTATTAATAGATATTAATATTGTACTATAATTTTTAAATTGTTTATTTTTACTGTTATTTGTAAAATTTCAAAAACCTAAAATCGTTGCCAGATAAGCTTTGGTGAATTAAAATATTTAACACTAAGTTTCTACTTTTTTGAACTTTATCTAAAATACTTAACACTAATTTTTTATCCCTATATATCAAATATTTGCTATATAATTTTTTATACCTTAATTTTTTATTAAAGTGCTTAACCAAAACGTTCGATTTTTGTATACTAAAAAAATAATTTTTACATTTCCATTTCATATAAAACAGAGCTAATTAATATATCATTAAATCTATTTTCCAACTTTTATTATTTCAGTATTAGGAAAAAAAAAACCAGGAAAATAAACCTCAGGAAAAAAAACCCGGGAAAAAAAACACCCGGTTTTTTTCATATTTATATGTCACAAGAAGCAATTCTCAATTCCAAACACATCAAATTGAGCCTCTATTTCCTGCAGAAACTTCGAATGTGAATCAGAGCACTCTATCCTACGAAGAACGCACAAATAATCAATGAGAAGGTGGGAATTATCGTTCTAATCTGTCTGGGAAAAACACCCATCCAAAAACTAATAATAAACATATGACATAAGCGATATATATAATTAGTTATTTACTAAATAAATAATGATATTTTAAAATCAATAAAATATCGAAATTTATTATTTAAAAATAATTATATATAAAATTTTACCTATCCATTCTCAGTTTACTTTTTCCATTTTTAATTTTTCATCCAACCTATTTAGCTAGAAGAAGATAAAGAAAACCTACCGCAGCTCTGATGAACCTTCAACAAAGAGGGCAGAAACATAAATCGCATATCACTTAATTCAAGCCATTTTTATAGGAAAATCTTAACTTACTTATTAAAAAATTTAGTCATTGTGAAGAGTTAAACATGTATCATTTTTTTTACAATAGCCCATAATTAGTGAGGATACCTGTTTTAGTCATGAAAAAAATAATTTTTTTAAACAAATCCCTTAATAATTTGTCCAAATTAAACCATTATTTAATTACCTCCCCGCCCATCAATCTTTTTTTTTAAATATACCTAAAATCCTCTACGCCCTGAGATTCTGTCCGATCTTCAAATGTAGCGACTTGCTCGTTTCTCATGAAACCCAAATCAATGGCATTCTTGAAAATATATTAAACCATAAATTTTCCAGCCCATCCAGGCTTCAGGTCACTCTTCCTACAGATGGTACTGGTATTTGATACCCGATACAACTATCCCTCTCAGCCTTTATCTTTTCTCGCCTGACTGCTCAATCTATTATCGATAATGGATCCACTCCTTCAAATACTGACCTTTCTCAGGCCTTCAATTGCTCATCCTCCATTTGTCGTCCTGCCTCCAGAATTCAAAAAGACTGGGATGCTCCTCTGATTGCCCTTTCCATTGAATACCTAAGTTCGAACATTTCCCTTTGAGGACAATCTCAATAATTTAATATTATATGTAAACTCAGGTTAAGAATGGTTGAAAGCCATCCCCAGTTCCAATCTTGGCCTCCTCTTGACTGGTGAACAGCTAAGCGTTTCTATAGCCCTCCGCCTTGGCTGTAATGCTGTATTTTCGTATTGAATCGATAGCTTACCATCCCTTGCACTGCAAGTTCTTCCATGGACGACAACCGCGCCATAAATCTATAAAACAACATTCTCCTAGCTGCCCTCAAAAAAGTTAATATTCCATCCACCCTCGAACCAATGAGCTTTTCAAACGAAAACGTCATATGCCCCGAGGGGATCCTCATCTCCTGGACTAATGGTCTTGCGTTCGCTTGGAACTATACTTGTGTCGATTTTGCAGCAAAGTCCAACCTCTCATTTTCTGCCATTGAAGGCTGAAATCCTAAAAAAAACAAATATGCTGGCCTTACCAACATCGTGTTCATATACCAATACCCTAGACATGTTTGGAAGTGATGCCCTAAATTTCATTAAAATCATAGGAAAAAAAAGAGACAGATCGCGTGGGACCCCAGTGAAGGATTTTATCTTGGTCGGAAGATTTCCTATGAAAATCTGCAGGTCCAATTTTTTAAGCATTCACTCTTCTCTAGGGTGATATGTACCCTTTTTTAAATATTTTTTCTCAGTTATTTTTTATACATATATTTTTCTAAATTCATTTTTAATATATGCTTATTTGTTTTTTAATTTATATATATTTAATTATCTATTGTATATATCCTTTTTTAAAATAAATAAATGATTTTACCACAAAAAAAAAACTAATTTACCAGTTTTTTTTTAAATTAAAAAAACAT